TTTGACAACAATTCGGCCCCCTCCCTCCGTTAGTGCTATGGGCCTCAGGTTCTCCGGTTGGTCCGGGGGTTTGCCTGGCTTTGGGAGCCAGGCCACCCAGGCGTCAGCCCAGAGTTGGTAGAAGGCTCCCGGTATCGCCCAGAGGTTTTCGCAAAGGGTCGCAAGGTGCGGTACCACCGCCGCTTTGCCAAGGTGCCATAGCAGAAGTTGCGCTAGATGCTGTGGCGTGGCCTTCCTGGCGGAGAGCGTGTCCAACGCCAAAAAGAGCTCAGCTTCACTGAGGGGGTGACTTATTAGCACTTGCTGGGGGCGGCCATCCATAGAGGGGGCCGGGGGACATTGCTCGGGGGCAGGGTCGTCGCAAGGCAGAGTGGGGGCGGGCGCAGAGCCGCACGGTTGGCTAAAGGCAGAGGACTCTTCTGCGGAGGAGTCTTGAGGTAGGTGGTAGACCTGTTCACAGTACTGGGTGAAGCGTTTGGCTTCCTCCTGCTTGGACAGTAGCTCACCTTTGGTGCCTCGGAGTTGGATACGGACTTTGGCCGTTTTCGGTGCGAGGCGCCGAATGACTTGCCAGATGGCTGATTTGTCACCCTGCCTGTCTGCCTGCCAAGCTTGCTGAAGTTGCTCGTCGAGGACCGCGCGCTTGGCCTGGCGTCCGTGTCTGCGCAATTGGCGATGGAGATGCAGGTAGGTAGGCGCCTCCAGGCAGTGAACAGATTGTTGAGACTAAGCCATAGTCGATGGCCTGTTCTACGCCAGTGTCGAATCTTTGCGGGGATAGTTAGGGGACGTAGCGTATCAACCGCATAGCGCAGGGCGACCTGGCGACTAGTCCACATGTCCTTCACCGTACCTTGGACCCGGTCGGCTACACTCTGGGGTTGAGGGCCGTTGCTTGCGGGAATAAGCTGGCGAGCCGCACACTGTAGTGCTTCGTCGAGCTGTTCAGGGGGGGGTTGGGCCGGCAGACACTCTGCCAGGCTGTCGCAAAAGGCCTGAACGCACGAATTGGGCTGTTCAGATGCGTACCTGGCGGCTTTGTCCCGTTGCACTGCGGCGGCGGGTGGCGCAGTCTGATAATGTATCGCGGATATAGAAACCGAAACTGGGTGGTGTCGGGCCCCTCCTCTCCAACGCAATAGATGAAACGCGTGATCGGGTTTAGCCTGCCTGGCAAGTCCGTAGACCTGCGCTTCACGTGCGAAGAAAAAGTCTATGTGGCTCTTAGCATTTTCGTGCTCATACGTGAAGGACTGGGAACTGCGGCACCAAATATTAAGGGCCGTGAGCTTGTGTGTGGATGCCAAGTTGGCAAGAAGCTGTCTGTCCACGTGGGGATGTTGGCTATTGAGGATACCAGGGCCATACACACGGGTTTCGCGGGTGCCGGTAGTGTTAAAGTCCCCCCCATTAACAAAACATTCCTGATGGGTAGCGAGGAGAGAGTTTTCTCCAAGTGGTGTAAGACTCTTTCTCGTTTTTGTAGGACGGCTGCCTGATCAGGGCCGGTATGAAAAGCGTATTGGTACACATTGATTAGGTCAACATCGCGCCCTTTGATGGGAAGGCGGAGATATAGAAGGTGGCCCTGAAGGGGTGTGGACCATCGGATGTCTTCAAAGGAAGCTAGGGACTTCCGTACCAAGATCATACACCCTTGGAAGCGATGGTCCGAAGTACCACTGTGATAGACATGAAACCGAGGCAGGCTCCAGGAGTTGGTGAACCTCCAGTGCGATTCCTGCAGAAAAACGAGGTCATAGTCTTCTTGGTTATGTAACCAAATCTGTACCTCCAACCAGGCATCTTGCGAGAGCCCTCCAACGTTCCAAGTCATAGCTCGTAACCTGGGTCCTTTGCGGTGATCTGTGACCTGAGAGCGGCTCCACACGGCGGGCCGAGTGGAGGAGTTGGTCGTGGCACCTTGCAGCGTGTTGAGAGTGCACATCCGACCACGATACTTGGTGGTGTGGGTAGGATTCCGAGTTGCACGCCCTATGGCACGGCGTAAAGCGCGTTTGCGAATCGCAGCTCGGGGTCTCGAGTTTTGGTGTCCTGCAGTAACTGGTGCATGATCGCCAGTGTGGTCCTCGTATGGAGTAGCAGAGATGGCCTGTTGAACGGCGGCTGGGGGAGTGGGGGCAGCAGAACCAGGGTCGCCCTTTGCCACGCCGAGAGTCAGGCAGAAACAAAGGAGCATAAGCATTCGTGTGAAGATGTGAACCTGTGCGCCGGATGCTCGGACCTTGGGGCTCCGCTGGGCACTGAGAAGGCGACCCCTGCCACAGGAAGCAGTGCTCGGACCTGAGAGAAGACCGGGGTGAAGCAAAGGCCCTAGTGCAACATGGAGGATCCAACTGCACAGCAGGTACAACATGTATCGCAGCTGCCGGCTACTAGTAACGGCTGATATAAGTACAGACCACAACTGAAGGCAGTGACCTGGCACATCACTTGCAGCAGAGCTCGAAGGCGTATATGCTTACTCTGGTTGCGATTCGTCCCCCGAGTCTGGTGAAAAGGCGCGATCCCGCTCCAGAATAGCCTGTGGGATCGAAAATTTGCCAGCCTCCGCGGAAAATGTGTACTGCTGCAGACGGTCTTCCGCCATTGCAGTGGGCCGGCTCCCCGAGAGGGGGCCGCTACGCGGTGAGAGGGATCGAGCTCGGAACAGGCGGTCATATAGATCAGGTGGGCCTGAAACAGCAGCATCTTGATCAGTGACGGCAAGAGCAGCTTGGGACGGAGTGCCGAGCCACGTCCTGAACACCATGGTCAGCTGGTCGAGCGTGATTCGCCATGAGAGGGAATCGTAGATGCGGCGGGGTATGTTGCTGATCAGACAGTGCAATAACGTGAAGAGCTCGCCGAGTTGTTCGAGTAGATCACGTCGGGAGCTTTCCCATAAAGTGAGCGACCAGGCTTCAATCAGGTCCCCGAATGTGCTCGAGTTCCTGATGTGCGTGAGGTAGCCGCTGTGCTGCAGATCAAGAATGCTCACCCCCAGACTCAAGATATAGTTGCCGACAGGCGGCAAGGGAAGCGGCACCCCGTAGGGGCCGACGACGCCTTCGTATGTGAGTCGGTCTCTCATGGCGTGAAAGTCATTGTGTCTTGATATGTACCCGCCTGCTGACTGGTACAGGTGCAGAAGGTACGGCACTTCAGCGTCCTGAAGCTCGACTGCCGCCGTGTGAACCCTCTGTAACAAGTCCCATTTGTGTTGCGTCTCCTCGAGATCAGGTGTGGTGCTGGGCGGCGGCACCGTCTTGCTCCTACGCTTCTTCTTCGGCTGACAGGCATCCGTCGTCAAGGTAGGGGTGGATGCCGCGGATGTCGAGGCCGGCTCCCCATTGGGGGCCGCCTGAGTGAATATCGGAGTCGTGGTCGGAGCGATCGTCGTTATTGGCACCGACCTTTTGGCCGGAGAAGCCGGCTTCTCCGAATTCTCCGTGGCTGTGTCCAGGTTGACTGTGATGCCTGGTGGTGGGGCTTTGGATCGTTTGGGTACCCATTCCACCTTCTTCGGGGCGGGCGGAGGTGCACGTCCTTGGCCTTTCCCATGAGCTCTTTTGGACAGGGGGGGGGGCGGCTGAGGAGGCAGCCCCCTCGCTGCCGGCAGCATCGGAGTCCATGAACTCGTGGCACTCGACTCGGTGGGACGCGATCCAGTAGCTGTTGGGCTCTCAGCTTTCCCAGAGGTCGGACAGCCAATGCCTGGGGTCTGGGATGCAGTGGCTGTAGTGGCTGAGGCTGCGGCGCCGGCTCCCAACATGGGGCCGTCGGACTGCGCCTTTTTCGGTGGCGGAGCCGTACCTGTGCCAATAATCAATGGCTGCCCCGTCGGTGGCCCTTTCGGCTGCCCTTTCGGTGGCTCCGGAGTGGCTGCCGTAGCACTAGCTGAACCAGCTGCACCTGTCGCCGCTCCATCGGCATTGCCTGGATCATTGCCGGCTTTGGCGGCCGCTCGTGCGGCTCGTTTGGTGATCTCGCCGGCCGTCCGGCGCCGGATGCCGTCGGGTCTATAGTGTTGCCTAGGTCCGCCTCCAGGGCGAAATATGACGGAAAAATACTGCAGCAGACCAACAGACCATGCCAACTGAGAGCACATGCACCAGGGGCAGTCAAGCAAGAATGTGCGAAAAAGAGACTGAGAGGATCGCTTCTTGCGAGAGCTTCTTCTGGAGTTGCGGCGGCTCTCAAGTAGAGGCCGAGGCCGAGCCTGCCAATGCCGTGGGTGGGGTGATAAAGGTCCCTCAAAGAGAAGAGATGAAGGCGCAATTCGCTGGTGTCGTGCAGCCGAGGCAGGAGCTTGATGACGGCGAGTCGGGTGGGAAAGGACCTGAGCAATATCAAAATCAAAATCAGAAAGGATCATAGGTGGTCTGATCAAAGAGGGCAGGACTAAGCATGGGTCGAAGCGAGCTTTTCTCGAATGCCTCCTGGATTTCGGCACCCGTTCCGGGGCCGGAGAGTGGCCACGACCTCCCTCCCGAGGTGAAACACCAACCGCTGCAAATGCGACTTTAAGCCGGCCTGGCGATGGAACTGGATCTCCGGGGACGTCGCAAGCACAGTGCCGGTGCATATACTGCACTTTCGACATATAGTCGATGGGAATGCATCCATTGAAGCCTTCCGACAGCACCACCGAGTTGGTGCTGACATACAGGTGCATGCCGTCGCGGAGAGCACGTGAGATGTCCAGATATATCAGGATTTCGACATCTGTCCTCATTCCAGATGTGGCCCTGTGTTGGTCTCGAGGCAGGGCCATGGCGAAATGTATATGTTTCCTGGCTCGCTGCCCTCTGTCTCTTCCCGCCCTCAGGCCTTGCTGATATATCGAGGCGTAATGCCGAAGATATGTTCCGTGCACCGCCAGCGGCACCTCCTCTGGGGCCGTGATCCGGGTAAGAAGAAGGTCGTCGCGGACCTGCTGCATAGAGTGCCCTTGGGTGGCTCTGATGAGAAGCTCGTGGCCTTGGTGGGACAGTTGGAAACGCTGTTTCGCGTTGTCCGTCACTGCCACCTGAACGTCAGCTAGCGTGGCACCCGCATTGCGGAGACGCGGGTGCTTCAACACTTCCTTGACGGAAGCGTAGCCGTCTTCTCGCACCCGCAGCCCAGACCGCTGTCCCGAATGTCGCAGTATCTGCGACAAAGCCTTCGAAGTCTCTATTTTCCAGCGTTCGCTCCTCTGAATCCAGACTTCTCGCGGCGGCTCCCGTCGAGGGGCCGTTGCAGCAGTGACAGAGCTGGATCTGGACGCCTGGGAAGGCCTCGATGGCTCGCTGGTTCTCGCATCACGCCCCTGGTCTCCAGGTCGCACTGGTGATCGCACTGGTCAACGGGAGCGGTAGCGACCCTTGTGGGTACTGGGATGCCTTATTTCGGCTCCCCTTTCGGGGGCCGGCCGCAGACCGAACCTGCTCCCAGAAAGCCGTGGCAATTCGAACCTTTCTTCAGAACTTGTATCCTGGAGAGTGTCCATCTGGCCCTCATCGGCCTCGTACTCCGGGGAGTCGTTAGCATCACCGTCTCCTTGCACCGGCTCCCTGGCTGGGCCGTCCTGAGCAGACTCCTCTTCCTCTTCGGCGTCCGTCTGAGCCAGGTCTCGAGCCGCCGCCCTTTCGACAGCCTTCGCTTTCCTTTTGGCAATCTCCCACTGGGTACGTCTTCTTCTGCCATCGGGCCTCCACCTTGATCTCGGTCCAACACGTTTTCCCATGGCAGGCGTGTCCCATCCAGCAGGGCTTAATAGTGCATGCCGGGGTTTCTGAAGGGGGGTCTGAGATATAAGGTGCATTGGGAAGTGGAGGTGCTCAGAATGATCACCCATAAGATGATGGGTAGTGAGCCTAAGCAGGGAGGCTAAGGTGGTGATCGGAGACCTTAGGGTGAGAGGCTGGAGGCCTGGGGACCAGGCGTCACGCAAAGATTATAAAATCCCGCAAATCTGAAAGCCAAAAGACTGACCGCAAGCTTGCAAGGTAAAACCATTGGGCGCAGGCCAACCGGGGGTCTGATCTTGCCAGCAGAGGCTCAGAGGCAGACCGTGAGGCATGTGCCGTTCTCGAAGATGCAAGCCACAGCCTGTTCCAGGACAGGGCCCACACGAAGGGGCTTGCTGGTTGCAAGAAATATCTCGGCACCCGAACGGGGCCGACCGAGTGGCAGGCTGACCTGATAAAGTGATGAGCGGGAACACACCTGGCAGAAGACAAGGCTCCCTGTACGGGGCCGTGATGCTGCACAACGAGAGACGGCACCCAGCGAGGGCCGACCAAGCAGCCGGCCGACTTAAGGCAAGAGTAGTCCATGCTCCACCTGGCAGCCGGACACACAGACACAGTCCATACAACAGAGGGCGGCAGGATTGCAGAAGTGTGCACAGTTTTCGCTGCTGCCCGGTAAGAGGGGAGATAATATCTTCATGGCTGCTTTCTCGGACTTTCCGGTCCTTATAAGAGGCGGAGTTTCCCCAAATAAAACCAGCTGCTCCAGCAGGCTCAGGTGGCTCGACGTGATGATCCAGCTGCTGATGGGGTTCTCGAGAAAGTCGTCGCCTCATCGTTGACCTCAAATCGGGAGTTGGAGTAGTGTACCGGCTGCGGCGGCGGCGGCCCACAAGGGGGGCCGTGCATCCTCCCACTCCGTTCGATTTCGGCAGAATCGGAGGAGTGATCCCGTACGGGCTGGGGTCGCGGCGGCCCATACGGCGGCCCATGGGACGACTCCGGCGGATTCGGCGGAACCAGCTCCAGATCCATTGCATCGATAGCTTCCGATGAGTCTGGGAACCAGGAGATCTGCGAGGTGCGGCCTGAGGAACTGCTTGGAGAGGAGAGGCTGGTCTTGATCTTGGAGACCTGGCTTGCTGGCTTCCGAGCTCGGCGACGGCTCCCACAAAGGGCCGCAGTTGCCGCTGCTGTAGCTGCTCTGGACAGGCTCGGGCGTTTGAGAGCAGCCGTGGGCTTCTGTGAGCTAGGCTTCTTCGCCACACGGCCGGTAATACAGCCAGATGGCCTACGTCGGACTGTGGCTCCCATGCTTCCCTACGTGTTGGATGGAAGGTGGGTCCCTGGTTTGAGCAGCTGTCTCGCGGTGGGACTGCACAAGCAGCAAAGTAATGAAACAGGCGGTCCCCAAAAAGGGCCGGCGAGACAAGAAGGTGGTACAAGAAGACGAGGCATTCCAGAATAACCTGAATGACCTGAGTATCGCGATCTGTATTGCCAGTATAGCATGTTGAGGCTGCAACGATGCACGGTGAAAAAGAAGATCGTTTACCTCGTGGCTTCGCACTAGTGTGTGATAGCACTAGGAGGACTGAATAAGCCGCTCCTGCTGGACCTGAGGCAAGGTATCCAGCAACCCTCGCGCCCCTCGCCTGACAGACGGGATGGTGATAGGTAATCTGAAATCGAGGCCCGGACTTGGGACCGGGCTCGGCTCGGACCGGCATCCTCTGAGGGAGCCGTTGGTGGAGAGCATCGCCAAAGCTCCCGCGAGCGGCGCGCTCGCAGCTGTCATCGAAGTCAAGAAGGCAATGCTGGCTCCCAGTGCCGGGGCCGCCGGTATGACTCATATGCTCAATCCATTGAATGCAGGTCCAGTGCAGAAGCACTCTCAGAGTTCTGAGCCAGGGACGTGACCTGCGCGGCGCCCTGAGAAGGGCCGTAAGTGGTATCGTGTTTGCGCTATACTTGTGCACAGACGTAATAATATAATTTCATTATGATATTTTTATTGAATTCATTCTATAATTCTCAATTTTTAGCCTAAAAATATCCAAAATCCTCTATCGTATCTCAAGAACGTATATCTTCATACCACTAGCAAGAAAGAAAGAAATTATATTGCGGTGGGACGAAAATTTGATCTACTCCTTGTTTCGTCGGATACAAGCCCCCGCTCCTCCATAGAATCCTAACAAACAGGACCAACCGACTACTCCTCCGGAACATTAAAGTAGTATAATTTCAACACGAGGTATAAAATACTCCGCTAGTCAGGTCACGTAAATCGCACTTTTCGGTATTCCGCTACTCCACAAGACGTCGTAAGACAAGATAGATCTACTAGGTCAAAACTTTTGTCCTCCCGATGTATTCCAAATCTAGAACCTATATCCCATCGTCCACCATATCATAAGGCGATAGAAGAAAAGGGGGCATCCCACCCCTTCCCCCCACCCCGCCCATATCATAACTTAGGAAAAAGGAAGAATTAAATCCAAAATCCATCCCCACCCCAAGAGACGAGATCAAACCTACGAAAAAATCGCAAAAGGGGAGCCCAAGCATAGTGCCATCTATAATCGTGCGCACGAATACCACGCAGAGCACAAGGCGACCTAACACGTCCCACAAATAGGGAGGTAGAGGTAAGACAAAAATAATACCATATATTTGATCGCGCAGGCGAGAGAAGACCCTCATAGAATATCTATATCTTAGGATCAACCAATTTCATATTCGTATGAATTCATATAAGAAACTGAAGACTCCACTGAAAAGTATCAATTTCTAAAGAACGCAATTCCATTATCCCCGCCGGTACCGACCACACTACGTAACGCTATCGGGCAAATCGATACCCCAGCCCTCCTAATCCGAGACCCCCAACCCAAGTCTGCAACTCAAAATTGTTCCTATCAAGCCAGTCTTATAATCGAACCCACCTAGATAACAAATAAAAGATCCAACTATCTGTCTTCTTTTTTATTTTCATATTTTTAAACTTCTGTTTATTTTAAACTCCTTCAGATACATTTGAATATCCATAATTAATTGAGTTTCTTAGTGCATTCATTTTTAAATCATACCTGTAATGGTGTAAGCGTATTGATCCCAATCTACAGAGTTTGACCGTATAAGTATATTTCATTCCAATATGAAGTCCCAGAAGCATTTGAATAACTCATGAATAGCAGGCCCCATGCCGACCCATACTCTTCAGTTGCCTATTCGAAAACGGAGGAGGTCAAAACCAAGATTCCATAACTTCATCTATCAGATTATCCTTGAGCTTATCAGAATTAAAACGTACATCTACTATACCTGCCTTTAAACCCGTACTGTGGCCGATTCGTGTGACGGGGGACAGCGTTCTCCGAACAGCTTACATCAATCTGTACTATACCTAATCCACAACATGCGATCGATGAAGAATTTCGTTTGGAGATTCGATCGAGACTTTCGATTCATTGCTGGTTGAGACCCCGTTTATGTTATTGATCAACAACGTTTCGGTGTATGCTTTAATTCAAAGCTATAAAACCACGGTATGGTCAGATAACTAGTGCTGCCAGTGATCTTGCGGGAATCGTCCGGTTCATTTGTTCTGCGCGGACGGCCTGTTCCTTAGACGGTTCAAGGACAACAAGTCAGATCATGTCTGCGAAAGAAGCAACTGGCTCGATGTTACAATTGCAGCGAATCTTGAGATCAGGTCTGCTTCAAACGGACACGCATGCGCAGCTCCGCGTCCTGACGCAGAAGCTCACTTTCGCACATCTGTGCAAGCAGCTGCAAGCAGGTAGAAACACCGGGGCAACGTCAAGGACAGGGTCAATGGACAAAGTCAGGGGTCCTCTTCAAGACGCGACTTGGACTTCTGCACGTAGTGCAGAACATGAATCTCGACCTCGAGTCAATCCAACATGAACATTACGAAAGTCTGGCATAAGGTGTGGAGGCAGGCTTACAAACCAGCTTGAGGCACAAAGCGTCTCAGACTCTTTTGCAAAGAGTGCGAGGCCTTTTCTCGTTGAAGTTACATCGAGCACAGTCTGAACCGATCGCCCCTTCAGCTTCAACTCTGTGCCATGCAGATTAGTTTTCCATTCGGCATGGGCACCACAAACTCTCCACGAGGCAGCACGTCCAGGCATCCATGCGACATGCAACGTCGTGCTGCGAGAGTCCTCGCTCCCTCTCCATGCTGTCATAATAGCACACTGCCGACATTGCAATGTCTGAGTCTCGGCTTCTCACTTGCATCGTTCACGGACACGCACAACGTCCTGTTCGTGGCACTTTACTTGGCCGACTTGGCCTCACCGACATGTGTCTGACATCGCGTGGCGGCCAGTTACATACCAAAGTACAGGTCGTGGAAGAAGTCCACGGCTTTGCGATCTCCTTCCTCCAACAGCTTTGCTAAACGCAGGTGCTGGACGCCGAACTCGCACACCGGAACGGCACTGGAGCAGCTAACGACATCCTTAGGCAACGACAATGAGAAAGACGGCATTGCAAGAGATGTCGCTGCATGCGCGGTTGAGAGCCACCCGACTTCTCGCCCAGAATCGTGCTGCGGCATGATTTCGAAGATGTGTAGAGCCGGCTGCCACTGCAGGCCCTGTGACTTCGACACATGGCCCTGCAGCCAACACCGAAACATGAACAAACACCGCATTGTGTGCCGGCCGAGTCGCACGCCCACAAGCCAGAATTGCAGAGTTGCTACAGAACAGATCTGTTGCATTGGGGTCTTCAAGATCGTGGAGCAACGTCAAGGCTCTGTCCCATTGCGCCGCAGCACTGGAGGCACTGATTGCACTGCCTTGGCTTGGAGCTTTGCATGACATGGTCGATGCTCAGCCCTTGTCAAGGCGAAGGCACTGAAGCAGGGCAGGTTCGGCTGCAGCCCGCGGCTCGGCATTGACCGGACGAGGACGAAGGCATCCCTCCAAGCCGCGCCTGCATCTTAGAGCAGCCTAGAGCTTCGAGCTTGTTCACGCCTTTCTTGTTTGTGTTGCTCAGCGTGTCATGCAAAAGCTCTTTTACTTGTCGTGCGTGTGGTCTGCGTGGCCGTGGTGATAGGACTTACGGTATACTCCCCGATGTTGAGCAGAGCAACATTCACAGCACAAGCTCAACCGAAGATACATGCATCAAACGAAACCGAAGGAAAACCCACTTTCAATTTTCCAGCTTCCATCTGCATGGAACAAGGCCCATTGTAGATCACAGCAGCATAGGAATAGAAATGCAAGCACCTCTAATGCATGTACGTGACACAAAGGAGCCGTTTCAGACATGCTGGATATTCGAGGTGGCAGCTTCCAGGACGGAATCTGTTCACTACTATGTGAGATTTCTGCCGAGCCGAGTCAACTGCAGCTGTGATGCCCCAGCAGTTCAGGTCTGTTTCCTTGCGTGAGGGGTAAGCCGCATTTGCTGCGCAACCAGGGATGCCGCTACACTTCGTCTTCGTGAAGCTGGGCTTTGCGGAAGGATTGCTTCTTTTCTAGTACGCAGGAGGGGCTTCACGGGAACTACGGTCGTGCGTTGTAGATGCTCTGGCATTCACTACATGCGTGTCGGAATCGGAAACCATGGAAACTTACACACCGGCTTGACACGACCAGGTCACGCACTATTAATCGTTAATCCAAAACCCGGACTCTCAACAAAGAGCCGACCCTGAAGCAGGCGCTTCGATGGTGCAGTTGCATTGTTGTTATTGCTGCTGTTGTTGTCATTGCTGCTCCTGCTGTCCTCCGCCTCCTCCCCTCTTCGCCCTCCTCCTCATCCTCCTCCTACTTCTAATGACGGTACGTGTAGTGGGGTGTTGCCGTTAGTTGTTTTGCTGCGTTTCTTGTTCCCTTGTCGTGGCTGTCTCGGATTTCCAGCCGTTGTTGCGCTTGCCTGAGCCAGCTCCTAATGCTTCGGTGCGTGGGATCTGCGGTCGTACAATTACAAGACACCACTGTATCCAACACGCCGGCTTCACATGATGGGCCAACTATAGTTCGGACATGTTCGGATAGCACGAGGACTCTTAGCATGGAATCCTGAGCCCAAGAGCTGCCGGATCCGACACTTAGGCGCCGTACAACCTTCTGCTTTGATTTTGACCGTGGGTGCGAAGCAGAACGCCTACCTGGCCTGAGTCTGCTAGTGGCAAGATCTCAAACCGGAGCTGGCATCCAACCTAGCCTGCTGGGAGAGCATTTGTCTATTGAACGCGAACGGGCACATGCCTCGCAACACCAATGAAAGAGCTGAAGACGGGCTCCTCCTCCTTTTCCAGCGATTTGTTTCGTTCCTCGTGTTGTGGCTCTGCTGCAAGGATCCATGGTGGGTTCGGTACGCCTCTTTTGAAACCCTCACAATGAAAGAGTGTTTCGCCGGCTCGCCGGCATTATCATTCCATGGCAACTGGGTTACTTCTTCTTGTCCGCTATATGGGCTGCGGAGGGTCAAGTCCAACATGCCATGGTCAAAGTGTTCTGTGGTTTCGACATGCTGATTCCTACTGCCCTCCCGGGTATTGAGATGATCTTGGACGCAGGACAAGTGATCGTTGTCAAAATGCCTCGACACGACAGTTCACATGTGACATTTTGTTTGAAATGTTCACTTGCTGCTCGGCTTAGGCCCCGGTACGTGCTGCAGTTTCGCAAAGAACTTTCCACGGCGTACTCTCTGCTGTTGGATGAAGGAATGAAGGTTGTCTTGTCATGACCCCCATCTCCTAGACGTCGATGTTAGTTCGGAGACCCGATTCTCGCCGGGATCCCAAAGACATCGTGAAGCCCTGCTGCGCTGAAGTGACTCCCTCGCCCACGGGTCTGTGCCGCGTGGTGGGCTTTTTCGATGGGAACGGGGGCTTGAGCGATCCGGGGCCGGGCGGGGTTCGAGTAAGCATCCGCAGGCGCAGCTTGGCCTCGCTCACATGCGCTGATGGCACAGCTGAAGCCGATCAGGTCTGGAGAGACTCGAGCTGTCGTCATGTCGTAGAAAAGCAGTAATGCCAGCTGCCATCTGCTGCCTAGTATCAGGTCAGGGCATTGACAGCACCATTGGGAGCACGTGTGCACAACGTCTTGGCACCAGTCCTGGCCAAGTGACTGTCCAGTGCAGAAATAGCACCACTGTAGCTGATGACCTGGCTTGCGAGATTTGCAAGTCTAACTCTAGCTGCATGTGCGTCTGTTTGCTCCTAAGCCTGGGTCTGCGGCATCTGCGGCATGCTCTGATCTCTCCAATTGTTCCAATATGTGCAGCGCATGCTGCCATTCACTGCTGCCCGCGCATGCGCTTATAGCCGCATTGTAGCCTTTGTCTTGCCAACGCTCGCAGAGTGGATGCTTACTTGCACCGAGTGCAACAGAGTAGCTAATTGTGTCCGGCTTGAACTGTGCCAGTGGCATCGCTGCCAAAAGCTGGAGGGCCCCTTGCCAGAATCCAGCCTTGGTGAAATGCACACTGCCCACAACGAGCAGCAAGGCCTTTCGAACAGGCGGACAAACCTTGTCGCACGCGCTGATCGCTGCATTAAAGCCGACGATTGTGGGGAGGAGGCGGTCCTCTGCCACTACGTCTGCAAGAAGTGGGAATAAGCTGCTGTCTGCATTTTGGCAAGCCAAGTGAGAGGCTTGGTGGGATAGATGTATGCCGAGTGTCCTCCTCCATGCGCGTGAGCAGGCACAGTGCCGACTGCCATTTGCCAACCTTCCTGGGTGACACTGAGAGCTTGTTTGCGTGACAAAAGTCTGAAGTTGGCGAGACCTATGGACAAAAGCTGGGCTCACTGCTCGCATGCACTAATTGCGCTGTTGACACATATCACGTCCTTGCGCACCTGTGCACACAAGCATGTTCCGAACTCGTAACCTGAGCAGCCACAGCACAGGTCTACACCATGTGGGCCTGGATCGTGCCGATTGCCGCGAGCAGCACAAGCACCGACTGCCACTCAGCTGCCTTTTCACAAGCCTCAGAGCAGTGGGCAGCATTGTGAGTGCATTGTCACGTGTCGCCTGGCCCAGTTCTGTGTCCCGTCTACGGCTTGACCATTTCCGACCCTGAAACTTGTTCACTCTCGGTCTTTTTTGTTAGTTACTTTTTTCATTTGTTTAAATGCCCCTTCCAGGACACCGAGGATGAGCATGCGCATGTGACGACGTTCGGCTCAATCGTTGCGAGTCTCATCTCGGACAGGAGGAAAGAAGCTTGTGTCCAGCAGGATCTGCTCTCGCAAGCATTCATCACAGAGCTCAAGGTGTACACCTTGCCATCAAGTGACCAGGTCACATGAGCCCTACCAAAAAAAGCAGCCCAGGAAACCCGGTAGCATATCAGGGGCTTCCGCATTCGGTGCAGCCGGCAAGGTTTGCATTTGCTTTAACGTCCGAACTGCCCAGGTCCATTGGCCCGACCTGCAGCATCTAGATTTGCACGGGCTTGCCTTACTGCTTGACTGTCGAAGAACCTAGGACCACTTGACGGCAAGTGTTTCAACCAATCCAAGCGGCTTTTCGCAGGCACCAACATAGGCAGTGAAGTGAAACACATTGCATTCCACCAGGTTTTTCCTCGGCACAGCCATTAGATTCAGAACCGCGGTTTTCCTCAATCGCCCCTCTGCTGTAGATTCGTGACCTTACATATTCTGTAACAGAGGGAAGCACTGCAATCCATACAAGCAAGCGCCACAAGCTCCCAGATCGTAGGTGCTCTTCAATGAACTCCCAGCCCACATCGCTACCAAAAGGCTTGCTTGCCCACAACTCTTGTGCAACACATCCTCCGTCCGACGGAGCTGACCCGTTTGGATGCTTCTTCGTAGGCACGTGTTTTCCAGGGACCGTGTCCTTATCTCACAGTGTGTCGCCGTGATCATGCCGAGCCACTGCATCAGCGTCAAGACGTCACCGGCAATTGATGTGCGCCTGGGGCATGTGGGCGGCCGTCCGCGTCTCACGCAGCATTGTGCGAGCGCAGCGCGATTTGCTGTGATTGGTCTAATGAACATCTGCTGCTTCCCGCTTCGGCGAACTAAAGCTTAAGGTGCAAACCCATGAGCAGCCTCAACGGGTGCCTCCTCGTCTCTGCAGGTGTTACCTGGGCCCTGATTTACGTGTAGCCTTATGTCGAGGCATATCATGCTTGTGACGTTCACTTCTCTCCGCCTCAGTGTGGCCAGGCTTGCGAGGACCTTGGTCGCTTCCTGCGGACGGCGCCGCCATCGCTGCAGCGAAGGTGACAGCATCCGCTGCAACTCCTCATCACGGTAGAACGATTTGCATTACTTTCACAAATTGGTTCAAAATTGCGGGCCATGATCATTGCTGGCCTGTTCGGTGACGGAAGGACCGTGGGACAGAAGCAAGTCCACTTCCGGAACCAACCTCTCCTGCAACGGCTTGCGGGCACAGCCATAGGCCATAGGAGATTACAAAGCGGCACAAACTCACAGCTGCCTTTTTGCCCTGCCGTTTGCACGATGGCCGAATTGCAGGATGCCCGACCATCTGGACCGAACTTCAGCCATCTCATGAGGCATCGCTGGGCTGCCTATACAGCTGGTGCCTGCCTCGCGTTCTCTACACAGACAGACTTGAGAATCGCACATGCAAACGAGGCTAGAAACTCCATGAATCGCGCCCGGTACCTGCACCATGTCATGCAGTGCATGCGTCAGAGGCATGCCGAGACAGTTTCGAGCGTCGCATTTCTGGGGTCAGCTTAGTCGTATCCAGCTCTTTGTCTGCCAGGAAGAGGTATGGCGCATGTTAAAATTGCTGCCGCAAGATCTTCAGCGTTCATGCTCGCGAAATATGTGACTACCCTGAACAAGCGCACGAAGCTTGCAGATCCTGCTACCGGTGGCAAAGAACCTGGATGGCGATTGTGTGCCCCAAGCATATGATACTAATTCTGTACAGAAATGATAGCAATGCTTGTCGTTGCATGCCGTGCTTTCTGGCATGCAAGTCCCCCTAATTCTGTTAAACTCTCCTCGCTCGATCATGCATTGGAGAAAGCAGGATACGTCTGTCTTTTCGATGGTTTATATTGAATGACGAGGAGTGGGAAAACTCGATCCAAAGGCAATGCATGGAACTGTCGGCAGTTGACGGGCCTACCCCAGCACAGCGTTTGGATGTTCCTCAAAAGATCGTCCGGAGACGTGGATTACGAACCCTCCTGCATGCCTTGCCGTACAGGCTCGCCGGCAGCAGGACTTTGTACAGCTGTCGCAACACGATGCAGACGATGTAAGATAGCAACGCTGCAGTTGTCTCACACCGTCGTGCATCTTCCTGCGAAAGAATCCGCTACAGTACGAATTTAATGCAGTAGCACAAGCTAGAATTGAGTAGGATCCTGCTTCTATCTCGCAGTTTTGCTCAAGCGAAGCCCATGATGTTCATGCCCTCCTGGATGTCTTTCTTGCACGTCTGCTGCTTCCTGGTCTGCGGGCACTCTGGTACTTTGCTCCGTGACTGAAACGATTCCGTGGTGTGGCTGGCGCTGCACTTGGGATTGCGGGTTGATCGATTTGCTCCACCACGAACCTCCTCAATGACACGGTAGGTGACATCAATGTCATCTGTAGGACCCGTCACAGGCACAGTGACATCGTACACTTTGGCACTACCGAGGAGGGCATGCCTTCCCTCGCTGGTTTTCACTTCCTGGCAAGCTCCCCCGACTTGCTTGACCACCTCACGCACAGGAACTTGCCGCAAGATATTGGCCAGTTGGGAAACATCCTGTGGATGAGCACCGCAAGCTGCTACGACTGACACTTCCGAATTCTTTCGAACGGGACAATGGCCTTTAGCACGCATGGTATGGCGTCCTCCCTTGCCGGTTTGGCGGCAATGACTTTCACGGGCAAGCTGTTTTGCGTCTGGGTAGCAACAATCATCATTATCCTCGAAGCGTTCCTCAGTCACCTGCCGGCAGGATTCCGAGGAGGCCACTTTATCGTCTCTGAGAGCTTGATTCGCGGCAATCTTTTTGTGAGGCTTGGTCATCTTGTCCTTCTGAGCGCATAGACGAGCAGCCCAAGATGGAGTCTCTGTCTCATCTACAGGGAACTCGTCAAATGCCATCTCTTTGGCAGAGCTGCTTACCAACTCCCATTCGGGCTCCGAGGTCAGCATTGGCCACTCTCCTCACGGAGCACGACCATACGCATGCATGAGTCGCTGCAGGGCACAGGTGTCCACACACTTACAGGAACCCATACATTTCACTGAGGCTCGGTTGTTCAGCTGCAGCGCCTGTGCCACCGACGTGTTGACAGGTGCCATGCCGGAGCAAACGCAGATTCTGGTCTTCTCCTGCTAGTTTCGCAGACCTTGTTTGAGCTTCGAAAGCTGAAACCATCATCTGGATCATCTCCTTCCAGACGCACATGCTTCCAGCTCGGATTCTTGCACTAGCTGCTTGTGCGATGCTCAACATGGGCATGGGGAGGGCTTGTCATTTTGAGCTTCATCGATCTGGCGAAGGACTGCTTTGGCAGTCATGAAACTCAGACGACTCACAGGAATCGCGGCTTCGCCGCTGGAAGGCACGGGGCAGTATCAATCAGTCAACCTGACGATACAAGATGCCCGCATGCCACGCAGAAGGGCTACGGCCTGCTGCAAAGAGTCCCCCTTGACACATGCAGCGACTGCTGCACTGCATGTGATCTCGTTTGCATCAGGCCTGCTCTTGAGCCAATCTGTGAGAAAGCGCAAGGCCCAGTTCCTCAGAGAATGCACATTTTGTGATGTTCACACGGACCTAGAAGCTCCTGCCTTGACACCACCAACTCAATGTAAAAGCCGAGTATCCACTGCTCGCCTTTCTCACATGCCCCAATCGCTGCACCATAGCTCACCCCGGTCGGCACCAAACTTGCTTCAGAAATGTCGTCAAGGAGACATAAGGCGAACGTCCAGCATCCACAAGCTTCGCACGCGCTGATACACGAGTTGAAGCTAATGGCCTCGCGGCTTCGCGGGCCAACAGTGGAGAAGGAAAGAGTTTATGGGCTCACAGGTTACAGCCGCGCTATTCTGTGATATGAAACAAAGCAGCCAAGCGACAGTGGCATCGAGATATTGGGAGCGCAAGTTTTGAAGTACATCAAGCGCGAGATCCCATTGCCCACCCTTCTCACAAGAACTGATGACAGAGTTGTAGGAAATCACCTTGGTTGCAATAGCGATGCTTCTGCGAAGCACTTGCAACAGGTTCCAAGCAAAGCCGGAAGATAAATTGAATGTTGATAAACAGCGAACAGTGTGGCGAAGTGGCTATGCATTCGACCGTTTGGTAGCTCATCGCACCAAGCAGATTCACTGATTCATTCCACCGGCCTGATTTCTCGCAAGCACTGATGCAAGAGTCACAGCTGATGAAGTCTTTCGCCACATCTTCTGCAGACATCCCACCTCGAGCAGGACAAAACGAGTCAGGCATATGCTAGTTGTCACTAATACTAGTAGGAGTGGAGGAGTGGTCGTCGAAGTTGAAGTAGATTAGAAAATAGACGTAGTAGTGGTAGCAGTAGAAGTAGTAGGAGTAGTCGTCGTCGTGGTGGCAGTAGTATTAGAAATAGTAGCAGTCGCCGTCGTAGTAGTATTAAAAGTAGTTGTAATAATCGTCGTCATCGTAGTAGTAGAGGTAACAGTAGCAATAGCAATAGCAGCAGTAGTAGTAGTAGTAGTGGTGGTAGTAGCAATAGCGTTAGCAGTAGCAGTAGCAGCAGCAGTAGCAGTAGCAGGAGTAGTAGTAGCAGTAGTAGTAGTAGTAGTAGTAGTAGTAGTAGTAGTAGTACTAGTACTAGTACTCGTACTAGTAGCGTAGTAGTAGCAGTATAGCAGTATAGCAGTAGTAGTGCCTATTTGTAGCAGTAGTCGTACTGGTCGTTGTAGCAGTCGTGGTCACAACTTGGCACGCCAGTGACGGCTCTGCGGGGACTCAAAGACACCTAGTCACAGTAAATCCCCTGTAGTTTTTTTGTCACCCACATGGCACGCCGATGACAGCTCCGCGGGGACACAAGTGGCAACTACTCACGAAAGCATCCCAGTTTGGTCGCAAAACAGCAAAACACAAGTTAGGGCCACAGACTACACCGGGATGTCTCTCGATCTGGAAAACTCTCGACTGACCCCTCAGCTGCTTCGGCCTACCCCACCATCACAACGGCCTAAGGAAAAGTGAAACCCAGCACTGTAGTAGTAGTAGTAGTAGTAGTAGTAGTAGCAGTAGTAGTAGTAGTAGTAGTAGTAGTAGTAGTAGTAGTAGTAGTAGTAGTAGTAGGCACCCCCACCCCCTACCAACTACACTTGCTCTTAACCATGTTAAGACAACATCCATTTTACTCGGTATTTACGGCACTTTCCTCATGTGCGATCATCATAAGAGGCTTCAAAATCGACTTGTCGAGTGTGCAAACTCGGGCTCTTGATTTTGGGCTTGCTTCTGGGCGGAGGTGGGGGGGTGGGGGGGGGGATGATGACGACAGTGTTACGCGAACACACCCAACAGCATCACCACAAGAGCAGTTTTACTCGGTATTTACAGTACTTTCGTGATGTCAGACTTTGTTACATATTCTGAGCCTCTACTTCTCGACTATGCGTATGCGTATTAAACTTTGTTGTTTCGAACTGTTTGCAAAAAACTCGAAATTGGGTGGGGGAAAGCTTCTTCGGGGATGATCACGACACTGTTTTGCCTCCCTGAACAATATTTCCACACTCCAGCGCGCACACACCACACACACCACTTCAAAAGCAGACCCTCCTACGCCGAGTTTGGGCGGTAGGGGTGTTGGCGAGCCCCTCCCACGTACAGCTGGCATCTTTGTTTTGGATGTGTAGAAGATGTTGCGCTTCAGGTTTTAGAAATGTGATACACTTCTTGGCAGCACCTGGGTTTTGCACGGTATTTACAGCGTTTTCGTACTATCCGACCACCTGCGGTTTAGCAGTTTCTTCCCCGTCGAGCTTGCAACTTCGGCTGCTGTCGCAGTTTTGGGGCCTGAGCCCTTGCAACTTCACCGGCTGTGACAATTAAGGTAACTGAGCCTCTGCAACTTCTGCAGCTGTCGCAGATAGGGAGCTTGAGCCCGTGCATCTTCTGCAACTGTCGCAGTTAAGGCGTCTAGCAGCTTCCGCTGCCCAGCCCGGATGGAACAAGTGTGGTTGGTAGGGGGTGGGGGTGGCTAGTAGTAGTAGTAGTACTTGCACTTGCACACGCTGCTCCGTCCACGAGGTTTGAAGCATTGCGAGGGACAGACGGTTCCCGCCCGGCGGCTCAAGGCCGCTGCGACCTTGCGCATCCCGTGACCTAACAACTACATAAACGACTTATCGTCGAACTCAATCCATCTTATGCAGATCGAGAAAATGAGAAACTGTCCAATCCCTTGTTGCCGCCGTTGCTTCAGCAGCTGTGGCATCTTCGGTTGCCGGCTGGCTTCCACGCAACGTGACAGCAGTGTCCCGCTCGCCATCATCTTCATCCGAGCTTTCAATCAAGATGACATCGGGCAGACTGTAACCGGCGAGAGCAGCTGTCGTCGTCATCTGTCCTGAAGGAGTGCCAACTGAGCCCTCCATGTAGACCTGGGAACCTGCCGCGATTCCTGGCCCCTCGGTGGTTGTGGGCATCGTTGCCCCCGTGCTCGAGTGGTGCCCGGAGCCATTGGCGAACTGCATCTTGTCCAGTGCAACGTCGACTGTGCTCCACTCCCATAGTAGGAACACACCTGGAGCAGCAGGCACGATAGCCTGCCATCGTCCGCCTGTTGCATCCTGGCGTGCCGCACATCTCCACGACCGGTTGCCAGGATGGGGCCATGGCGCCAGACGAGCTGCCGCTTGGCGCAACCAGACGATCACGCCCCATTCGACGCTGTAACTTCTGGCAGCGACGAGTGTGTCCAGCTGCAGGAGTGCCACAGTTCGAACAGCAATAGTGCTTATGCCCAAAGTACATACGGGCACACTGTGCGTTGCCACATCGTCGCATCATCATGGGTAAGCAGAGTAGCAAGAATCCACTGCCACAAGCTCAGTCGAGAGGTTCCAACAGCCAGTCAGGGCTGCACTATCGCACCCACAAAGTCCAGATGGTTCGGTACGTGTACCCAAGCAACCCAGCAACCAGGGACCTCACCTGGATAGCCGTGAACAATTGTGAGGCACAAAAACTCGAACAACCCCCGTGGCTGGCCGCACCGTCTACCTTGTCGTCCAGGCAGCTTGTGCAGCGCTCATGCGAGACCTGAGTGGCCAGGCAGGAGCGGCACAGAGCAGGAGTGGCGGGAGTGCAATGCAGAGCAGAATGTCTAGTGACCTGCATTTCGTGGCCTAGCCTAGTTGTCAAAGTGTGCATGCAGAGTGCAGACACCTGATTCGTGATGCATCGGTAAGTTTTCACCACAGACCATGAGAGCAAGCTCGTCCGATGGCAGAACAACTTCCTGTCACCTTATGGCCCGTACATGTGGCCTGTACATGCGGCTCCACGTGGCTCCACATGTGGCCCACATTCTCAAAACCATACCTCTTAGAGCAACGCTTCAGAGGCACAGCTGAAATGTGTGCAGTCCCCGCGCTGAGGCGCAACAACGGCTGTGTGCAACACCGCAATGACCTTACTTGTCAGTGTCTGTCTCTGCAATCAAGGGTCAGCGTAGCTACCTGAAGGCAAGTAAAGACAAGCAAATTCACCCCGTACACCTAGCGCCCCAAGTCAGCGTCTCCAGGTTGCTGTGCAAACTATCAGATTGGCTGCAAGCGAATCAGCAGCAGGAAGCATGAGAGTGGCATGTGCTGGGAGCTCGCAATGTCATTCTCACAGACAGGCAGAATAACCTAGGGTGGGGAAGGAGACTAACCCGTGAGGTACAAGCATGGCATGGTGTGCGCCCGTTTAGCACTCAGCATAAGCGCTTCACCTAGCACTCAGCACACACTCGTGTAGAACATCTCAAAACAGTCAAGACCCTACACTCCTAGGCAGGCAACTCAGGCAGCGGGTAGAATGGACTCGGCGCTCCCGGTAGCCCAAATCCAAGCTGAGTCAGGAAATCGCGGTCCTCAGGCTTGATGTGTGCATGCTGTCCGATGGCATATGCCACCATCGTGATTCGGTCTCCACCTGTCCAGGCCTGCACTGAATGCAGGACAGTCCCTGCTTTCAGCAGGATGGCAGCACCACTCACATGATGCAGTCGCCCACGCAGGAGACAGCCTTTATGTTCCTGGTATGTGCGTCCTGTGTCATCCTGCACCCAGAGCTGGGACAGACCAACCAACAGGCTTTCGAAGGAGGCGTTATTGACATCAGCATGTACCTGGGCATCAAAGTTGACGTTGATGACAACAGTGGTCCAGATTTGCCCAGGATTGATGAGTGCAATCAGGGCATTCATCATCTTGCATACGGCCTGATGTGACCTGGTCAACTTCAAAAGACCCACATATTGTCTATGGCCATAGGCACCCACCGTGAAGTGTAGATGCTTGTCCCCAAGCAGCCTGGATGAAGCCTGGAACGGCAGATTCTGGGCAATTTGCCTGACCGCCGTCCATAAAGATCCCGATCCTTGCTGCAAGAATTGGTTGGCCAGGATTTCTGCATTGGAGCAGGACGATGGTGATGTCAAGGGTCTGGGAAACATACGGGCGGCTGTCGCCGGCAGCAAATCCTGCAACTGCTCGGCGTAACGATGTAGTTCACGGGAACTCTCTGCGTCAAGCAAGTGCGAGGCACTGTGTAACAGATCATTACGCACCGCCAGTGAATGAGTGATGGGAAGATGACCCTTGCCCTGTTCCTGCCACAACCTGGAGAAGGCTTCCAGGAGTAGCCACTCCTCTAGCTGCTCCGCGTAGATACAACGAGGCATGTTGAGCTCAACAGCCATGATGCTAGGCAAAGCAGCCCCACTCTAGGAAAACTACTTGAGCAGGCATGAAACATCGATGCACGTTCAGAGCCAACACTGACGTGCTTGTGGAACAGAGCTGAGCGCATCGCTGCCGGCAATGGGAGGTATTTCCCTTCCGACTCTGCCGCAGGGAAAAACGGCAACTCTGAGGTTTTGAGCCCAGGCGCCAAGTCAACGTGTGTTCAGCGGGGCAATGGCAAAGCAGCAAGAGATGGACAGTTGGTACACTAACTGAAGCATGCAGTAAATTCAACAACCGAAGCGTGACATTTGTGCAGCTGAGAACAGCCGGCGTGCCCCGTTCAGCCCGGCAACTGGTTACTATAGCACTTCGGCTGGGAACAGTGCAGGTCTGACAGGCGCCTAAAACCATCTACTCTGACCTCAGCAGCCCCACTAAGTACGTGTTGTGATGGATGCAGTGCAGATCCGCCTGTCTGGCCTGCCTCGGCTTTCGACGATCATCACAAACACGATACTCCCAGTGAGTATCTGCTGCAGCTGCCGATGCAGTGAGGTGAGAATGGGTAGGAATGCAGAGCGCAGCCTGATAATGACCACAATCTACGTTTTCGCCTACATGAAAGATCACAAAGGCAATAACATAACGCCTCATCTCAACCTCAATCCCTTCGGCTGCAACAAAGGCCGGAATCAGTATGACGGCGCCAGGCTCCACAGTCACAAGCGAGTCATCCTTCAGGGACAGACCAGCCACATTATCGTACCGATTCAGTTGTAAAATTACCAGCCCCTGATCCCCGTGCAATGCATGGACTGTGTGTTGCGTGTGCCACCGATGGACCGTGTCTTGCAAGCTGGGGCCTTGCACAGTGAGCGGCACTGGTATGGAGAGCGCACCTCCATCAGTGACGAGGTGAGGCGTGTCTAATCTAGCCTGCCAACAGCCCTGTAGCACCGGCGAAGCAGCATACTCTAACAGGTGCTTCATGAAGATCCCTGCATCATGTTGCCGGCTCAGATGCCGCCAGCCCGCAAGAACAGGAGACCATTCCAGGCAACCCGGGAGGTAGAGTTTCCCTGGTTTATTTGCCAGTTGAATGGCCCGATGCACCTCGCCCAGACAGAGCTGTGCCTGGCCCGTCAGCATCGAGATCCAGCTCAGCGCCTGGGATACAGAATTGAGGTAACATACCTGATGCGGATTTTGAAGCATAGCCTGCGGCACATTCAAGCCACCATGAGTCTGCAAGCAGACTGAGGCTAGGACCCCCCTTCGCCGGCCCCGAAGTCCGGCTCTTTCGCCTTCTCCGGTGCCGCCTCGGCGGGAGGCGCTCGAGCCTGACGGCCCGTCTGAGGAGCCCTCTCCTGCCACTGAGTGTATGGAACAGCGAGATAGGCTTTCTCCAACTCCGCTGCCAGTGGCTGGCGTTCCCCCCGTGCTGGCTTGATCCGCATCCCGATGGGCTTCAGTGCTGAGCTGTTCACCAAGGCTCGTATGGAGCCGTGGCATTTGGCCGCCACTTCTCCCCTGAGGCTTAGGCAGCAGAAAAACGGCAATACTGCGCTGGCGTAGCGATCGGTTGCCGACATTTTCCGAGTTGAACGGAATCGCGTCAGCACATTCGGCTCTGCCAGATGGCCCGCCAGGAAATCCAGATGGCCCTGAATTTCCGTGTTTTTCACCGGCTCCAGCTTGCTGAGAAGCTGCTTCTTCTCGCTGGGACACCATTGAAAATACGTCCACAGCGGATCGAGACCCTGTTCGCCCTTCTTGAGCCACTCCCAGTCGTAAGCTTTCTGCAGTTTGGACTCGTCCTGTAGGATGCCCGTGATCCGAGTGCTGGCTTCCTGGAGGATGCTCAAGAGCAAGATCACCTTGAGCGGGGATTTCACTTTGCCGGCTTCGGCCTCCGTCGCCCAGGTCTCCGCAACTTGCCTCACCATTGGCAATATTCCGGTAGCTCCTGTGTCCAGGTAGCAGATCACTGTCGTGTCTATGCGGAGTTGTGCCAACTCCTGTTCGTGTCTCAGTGCCATTCTGACCAAGACCGAGATGAGGTTCTGAGTCGCCATGTCGAGTCCCGGCGTCTTCTCCTCGTCGTCCAGATCGAACCAATCCTTGGAATGCGGCTTCCAGGAGTCCCATGACGCGCTGCCTTTCCCGCCGTGGCCCTTCTGCGGAGGCTTGTGCCATTTCTGTGGACGATCCCACGGGTCCGAGCTGTCGCCCCACGAGCGATCCCGTCGGTCCCCCGCCTCCGCCTCCAAGGCACTCGCCTTCTGCTTGGCCAGGCCGAGCACCTCCATCATCTCCTGAGCTGCCGTGGTGGGCTGGCCCTCAGGTTCAGGCGGCACGATCATCGATGAGTTCACCAATGGGATGGCGTCACCAGTTGGTTCGACTGCTGATGTAGAGGCATGGGTTTGACTGCTGTTGCGAAGGACGTAAAGGACAGGACATGACCTGGCAAGGTGCTTTTTCAGGGCTTCAACTCGAGTGAATTTAGCATTACAGCGTTGACAGGCAGGCATCCCATCCACAGAATGAGAAACATACGTAACTCCATCCAGCTTGCCAGTTTTGGGGAGGATGGCGTCTGGGTGTTTCCTGGCCTGATGCGAGAGCAAGTGCTGCATACATGAGAAATACTGACCACATACGTGACACGAGATCTGCTGGCTGACCTCTACTGGCTGAAGCCCATGCCTAGAAGAGGCTAAGGCCTCCCTCCGCAAGTCCCCAAGCTGGACAAGCTGCTCGCGAAAACAGGTGGCCGCATCGACATCCTTTGTTTTCTTGACACGCCTCCGAGCAGTTTGATCAACAAGTCGGTGATGCTGTTGAGCTTGTAGCGCTGAAACAGGACTTGATTGCTAACATGCGTCAAGTGCACAGGACATCGAACAATGGCCCTCACAGATCGCGCGTCTGCAGCTTCCAAGCGTCGAATGATAGCAGAGCTAAGGCCAACCGCATGCACGCCATACAGTAGAGAACTCCGCACGCATGCCCCATAAAGCTGCAGGCGCAAACGAACCCGCAAGCCATTGGTGTGCAGGACTTTGATCAAGCGCTGCCGGACTTGCTGCGCCGCACGTAGGCGAAACAGGCACGTCTGCATTTCGAAACTACCGTACGACAGTTGGACTCCAAGGTAGGTGAGTACGTCTTGTCGAGGTATTTCAATGGGCCTGCCAGGGATTCCTACATTAATAACAACCCCAGTGGTAGTGGTCCTAGAGTGCTGTCTCAACCAGGCCTTGGCAACGGAGCCCTGTAATCGAAGCAGCAATCCCGATTTGAGCACGTTGATGCTCATACCGGACTCCTGCAAAATGTCAAACAAGACTCGGATTTGTTTGCACATCACACTCAGATCCGACAATGACTGGATCTCCCATTGGGCTAAGTTGTCATCTGCGAAAGCCGTGTGATGCTGCTCACACCAAGCCTGGCCTAGGCGTGCATCTATAAGGTCCCCTATCCAGCAGGAGAAAATGCAGAACAGCAACGGTGCTAGAGTGCACCCTTGGCGCACTCCAACTTTCATCGGAAACTCTCCAACTTGGGTCGCATGTCTATCGCGGTAGGAACATTGCTCATGCAATACAACTACGATGGAGATGAGACCCTCGGGCACTGAAGCATGCCGGAGCGAAGCCACCAACCCCCATCGCGGGAGTTGATCAAAAGCACGACTCAGATCTATGGACAATGTTACTCCACCGCTACATGCTGCACTTTTCCGACCCTGCCTCCTAGCCTCAACACTAACCTGATCAACTTGAAGCAATTCACGAACCCTCCGACAGTGTCTGGATGCACGGGTGATGGCTTCATCAATGGCCCTGTGTTGACAGTAGGCGTACTGTCGATGTTGCAGTAGCCACGGCAGCACTATTTCCTGGATCTGGGCTTTAAGGGCACTAGCTAAAACCTTAGAGGAGGGATCCTGTAGTCCTAATGGACGGAGGTCCTTGGGCAGCCGAGAGGTTTTGCCTGGTTTGGGCAACATCGACAGTTCACAGTCTGTCATGCGCGCCGGCAATGTGCCAGGATTGGCACAGGCCTTTTGCACAGCTTCCACAATTCTGCAGGAGGGCATGCTGGAGGCACTGCTTTCCGTGGCTTGAGGGACGTAATGCAATCAGCAATAGCATCAGTGGTGGTCGTTAGGCTCATATTGCTGGTATTATGCACAAAGGTCTCTGTACGATCAAAGGCTTCGGAGAAGTAGCCGAAGATGGCCTCAAATTGCTGCTTCTTGTCAAGCAGATGCCCTTCCTCGGACCGTATGCGGATGGGATCTCGGCGCTGCTTTGGTGCAAGCAATCTGACGATCCTATAGACCTCTCCTAGGTTATGCTGCTGCGAGGCAGCATGCGCAAGTCCTATTTGCTTAACAAACCACCTCCGTCGCTCTTGTCTGCTCGCTTGGCGCAGTGCCCGCCAGCTGCGTGCAAACTTGGCGTACGCGCGCCACACGCTGAAGATGGATCCGGCCGGGGCTGTCCGTCTCCTAGCCTTAAACCGTCTATATTCCCTCCACATATCACTGATCTTGCCAAGAACCTGTGGGTGATTACCTGGCCTATCATACGTACGGGAAGTGCAGGGGAAGAGACGTTTACAGACCTGCAGGAGCTTATTGTTAAGGACCTCGATTCCCTCTTCAGCCGTGGTTTGCCGAAAGATGGTACATGTGGCTTGCTGCAACTCAGTCAGCTCAGGGCCGTTGCGGCTCACACATTCCTGCAGAGCATGTTTCGAGAATGTGACACGGGTGGCTGGCCTACCGTGCTTAAGTTGTCGCAGTCTCCATCCGGCTACCCAGGGCACAGAGGCAACAACCGGTTTATGGCGTGGGCCGAGCCTCCACGGCGCAAGATTTAAAGCTATGGGCGCAGCACGGCGCGCAGTTCGATCAGCAGCTTCCTTGCGCACCGCTACAAAGTCGATCTGCGAGTGCACGTCCCCATTTACAAATGTGGCTGTATGCGTTGGACCCGCGCGGCCCCATGTGTTAAGCACTACAAGATTGTGCACTTGCAACAGCTGCTGCAGGTCCTCATCCGCACCTCGACTTCGTGAAGCGAGTACACCTCGTCCTACATGCCCTGCCAGAGGATCCAGAGGAGTGTTATAATCGCCAACTAGAGCGAGAAGATTTCTCCTAGGAAGCTTACTCAAAAGTCTCCCAAGCTGTGTCCAAAGCGTGTGCCTCTTGGAGTCTGTGCTGGCCTTTTTATCGTCCTGTCTAACCCACTGATAAATGCCAACAATGTCCAAAGTAACGAGTTGCCCCTCACACCTGACATGTAGAAGCCTGCCTGGGATCCATGAGCAGAATGTGATGTCCTGACTGCAAGCCACCCTCGAGGAGATGGCCATGGCAACACCACTGTACCGGCAGTTCGGATCCGCTGTAACAACGAGTGACCAGCCCGGAATCCTCCAGGTAGCATCCTGTTTCCCCAGTCCCCAATGGACCTCCTGCAGAATCACCACATCTGTGTCCCTAGTGCGTTGCAGCCATTCACAGACCACATCATACAGATCAGCACTCATGCCACCACAATTCCACGTCATGATCCGCAGCCGCGAGTCCAGACTGGGCGTCTCACCCTGTGTCGGGCCAGATCTGGTGGTCGGATTTGTTCGTCCCAGCGCAGTAACATACTGCGCGTTCAGCGAGCTCGCAGTTACCAGTCGTCCTCTGTACGTCGTCTGACCAGTGGCCGCAGCTCTGCGACAGGCGCGCTTGTACGCACGCTTCCTTGCACGATTAATTGAAGAAAAAGTAGTTGTCATGTCCCGCCCAGCAGGCTTCGTCTCCGAGGAGACTTCCGGGTGGCTGGTGGAGGTCCACCCTACCCTCGGGTCTGCTCCCAGCGGCGCATCAGTGTATGCAGCGGTTGGATTGTGGAGCGACGGGACTTGGGACCCGTCCAGCTGGAGAGGAGCTGTAATTGTAACATCAGCAGCATTCATCGTGCGAAAGAAAAGAAACAGTATGGAAGCCAGCACCGCAACGGCCATGCTACCGAATACTGCAAACTGAGCTGCTTCAGTGCTCCAGCCGAGACCCTTAGTAGTAGTAGGAGTAGTAGTAGTAGTAGTAGTAGTAGTAGTAGTAATAGTAGTAGTAGTAGTAGTAGTAGTAGTAGCAGTAGTACTCGTAGTAGTAGTAGTAGTCGTCGTCGTAGTAGTAGTAGTACCAAGCTTATCATGATCACTGTTCCTGTTGCTACTGTACATGTTTCCGTGCGTTAACGCGCGAGGCCGATGGAAAAGTTGCCGCCAGCCATTCACAATGGACTTTGCGGGATGACGGGTCCATGAAAGTTCAAAGATGCAGCCCCTGAGCCTCAAATCGTTGCCTGCAGGGAAAAGCTTTGCAAGGCTGGTAGGGGCGTTCACATCTGCTGAAGGGAAATACATACATGTCCAGCTTTGCCTGCAGAGTCGCTTCATCCCTGAGCTCCTTTCCTCCATCGAGAGCCAGTGCTGGCAGGTGTCTAGGGCTAGGGAAACCGAGGCATGTTTGGCAAGCAGCAGAAGGGTCACGATGGAGAACACGGTTTCACGACCAACTTGACACATGCCGATCAACTGGTATGTCGTCGCTGAGTGCTGCAAAGGTACCAAGCACTCCCAGCGCCGCCTTCCAGTAGCTGTTCTTCTCACAGGCACTTATGGCAGAGTTGAAACTGATGTCTATCCGCTTTACCTTCGCCACAGCCATGCGGCTTAAATGAAGGCAGGCCATCTGCCACTGGCCACCCTTGCCGTAGGTGCTGATGCAAGCATCGTACATGATCGTGTTCGGGCTGATTCCGGATGCTTGTGCAGCATGAAGCAATGAAAAGGCGGGTTTCCACTCCCCAGCTTTCTCACATGCGTTGATTGCTGCGCCATAGCTTACCACAGTTGGAAGCAGCGACACCTCGAACGACAGCCAAAAGAGGTGCAAAGCCAGCCGCCACTTCGAAGCTGCAGCACATGCATTCACAAGGCTGTTGTAAGTTATGATGGAGTGTTGAAGTCGTGCGGACGATGAAAGCCCAAGCAAATGCAAAGCGTACTGCCATTGGCAGCAGCTGTCGCAAGCTGCAATGCAGCTACTGAAGCTAATGATGTTCTGCTCTGCGGTCAGCTTGGACATGCCGCTCCTCAGCTTCGCCATCATGTAGACATATCTACATGAGTGTGTCTCCATGGTGTTTTGGCCCGGTTCTTGACAAAGTCCTAGCCCTTTGCCAGCCGCCCAGGCGGCCAGCCCCTCTGCTTGCAGTCCAAGTGCAAAACATGTAGTGCCAGCTGCCAGAGACCGCTCTCAGCACAGGCACCTGTCTAGAGGCTGCATGGAGACTTTTTCTGAACCGAAGCGCAGCAATACCAAAACATCGAGGGGCCTTAGAAGCGGAACTACGGTGGATCAACTGTATGGGAGGGTCGGGTACTCAGACATCAGTATTTTTCCGAGACGGCACTTATCACCGTGTTGAAGTGGAAAGATGAAGTCTCACAGGTGAGACGGCGCATGGCACCAAGAACCTGTGCGCGGGCACAGCGTTCACTTCACCGGCTAGGCCCTACTGCTACTGTACCAGCACATCCACTCGACCCGACCAACAGTAGGTAGCTGCAGGGTTCCGTACAACATGCCCTTCCTCCCGTCCTGCGCTGCAACGGCTCCTTTCTTCTGCTTTTTGAGCTGGCTCAAGGCTTTAGTCGCCCAGCGCGGCTCGCGCCAGGTGGTCAAAGCCGCATGTACCGCCTAGGAGACGGGAAGGCGGGACTCTATTTGTTCTCTTCGCTCCTGGACAAAAGCATCGTGCCACCTCGCCTTCTGCACCTGGCTTGGCGTGGAAGCTGCGTCAAGAAGAACAAGCTGCGCCATGGCAGAATTCTGCAGTTCTCGCATCCTTCGGGACGAATTCCGGAAATCGTCTACATGACCCCTTCTAAAGCCGAATTCCTGGAACGGCATCAACATGCCTGGCAAGACTTTGTGCGGTTGCCGAAACGTCAATTGGCTGCACATGCCAGCGACATGTTGCGAAGATTCTTCGAAAAACTGCCTCTGCGCACTTTTCGATTTGACTCTGATTCGCGTATCCGCCAAGTCAGCCAATGGTCAAGGTTGAGGTGACATGAAACGCTCCGACGATAGGAGCCCGCGCTGTTGAGGGCCGGCCTTGCTCCAGGGTCTGCCCCAGCACCATGGGTGAGGGGACTGAGATTCTGAGATCCACAACGGAATTCAGGATGGAGTGGATGAATCACAAATACAAGCTGGTGCTGTCGCAAAAGGGCATCTTGCCCGCTAGAGAACACACTCTGTCAGTTTGGATGCGCGCAAAGCTGACAGGCTTGCAAGTGACACGCCGACATTGAAGTTATCGACAGGACAGGAGTCATCGGGAATGGACTATGGTGCGCTGTCTGCTTCAATTCCACGCCTCCCGTACTATATTCTCTTGTAAGATATCAAGCATCGGCGGCTTTTGATGAAGACTTTCCCCTTCGCTATCCGCCCATGCACATCCACAATGAGCAAGCGGAAATTTGCGCACAAGGGACTGCCTTTTCGGCAGATAGGAAACATCGAAAGCCTGAATAGGTGCACAACGCGTGCACCTATGACATGTGCATGGTAAACAGCAAAGCTTCTCAGAAGCTGCTGTGCCAAAGCTTTGCCAGATCAATGTTGCCTCGGCCTCATACGTAACAATCCCTTCGGCAATCCTACAGGCGGTATCTCGAGAACCCACTGCTGACAAGAACCCGCGTCAGCACCAGACGCGAAGTGGCACGAGAGAGCCGTGAAAAGATCTGGCCACATGACATGTGCAGATGCTGGAAACTGCACTGTTGCAAGAGCTTCCCCCGGTAGAGGTCAACTGCTGCAAGTCCAGCCCAGCCCCTGTGTTTGTGGGTAGAAGCAGCTGGCTGTGTTGCACAGAGCTGCATACAAGAAAAAACCTGACGGCTGCATTCAAAACGGATCGCTGCATTGCAAAAGCATGAAGAAAGTCTCTTGCACCTCTTCCTCAGCGACTCATCCCGCTTCTTCCAGCTCCATCCTGGGTGATGCAGCGGGGGCCGTCTAAATAGTCTTTATAATATACTACGGAGAAGTGAGTGGTGAGCCTCGCTGAGGTTCGGACGGAGGATCCGCCTCCAGAGCTGAGTCCACTTCCAGATGTTGAGGACGGGAAACCCGAGACGCCCGAAAATCCGGTGCCCATGGAGCCGCCCTTCTTGTCCGTGATCGTCTTCATGGCTTTCACCACGATCTTCTCCTGGCTCCAACACGTTAGTCTCCACCTCTCCGCTCTCCTGCTCTCTGCCTCCTCTCTGCTCTCTTCAAAGCTGGGATAGCTGCTAGCTTCTGCACTACTGGTATTCTGGCCGAGGCTCGAGTTTCTCCAGGCGATCCTCTTCTCCTGCGTCCAGAGGATCCTCTGGCCAGGGAACGCCTGGTGCCGTGGATCCACCAAAGCGCCTCACGGTCTCCACCTTTCCAAACATGAAGGTACCAGTAAGTCAGGAAGTTCAAAAGTTCAGTCCTCGCCACTAGGGCACCCGCCGTCGTCGGGTTGGCGTTGGCCGGCTCGAAGACCTGAATGCCGCCTGCGCGCAAGCCGGGGTGCAATGCTACGGTGCGCGTGAAAGGGCATTGGAGATGCCACTGTGGTCTTCTCTATGCTCCAGCTAAACATGAACAGCACCTGCCAGACCGATATCGCCCTCATTGAACTCCAATCGTTGATCGAAGTTGAGGCTCCTGAGATGTGCTAGCTGGGCACAGCTGGGAAACAGGTGAAACACACGCATCACACGACCGCAGGTGATCTCCCAGAGCACGTCATGGCGACTCTGCGACTATGTTTCAACAAAAAGGAATGCGTGAGAATGAAATGGGCACCGTGAGCTCTTGAAGTGTACATGCGGCGGATGATTGCTGGAGTTCGAAGGGTCAAAAGCACATGCACTAGTCTCCAAGGAAGGCTTAAACACACTAGTGCTGGGATAGTGCAGGAATACGGGGTATTTCCAGGCCAAGAAGCTGCAAGAAGCCGTTCCAACGTTTGCGAGATATTGATTCGACAGTCGAGACGATGATGCTTCCACGGGTCAAGCGTGCATATCCTTGCATATCTTCATGAACCAGGTTGTATGCCTGGTTCAACTGCGCCACCAACAGGTTCAGAAACACAACCGAGATCAGGATGGTGAACAGCACGATACACATCTCCACCCACACGGACTGTGTCAGAACCTCTTTGAGGGCCTCATTCGGATACATGCTCAGTGTCATCTCGAGCAGCGACTCCATTCCTTTGTCGATACGACTGAAATCCTTCAAGCTGTGGTTCATTGCCGCAATAGCCGTTGCGAAGGAGACAAGCAAGAAGAGCGCAGCCAGCAAGAAAAGGAAAACCTCTGTCAGCACCCTGCCACACACCAGAACAAACGCCGAGATCTGCATGGAGAAGATGCTGAAGTTGATGAGGAGGAGCCAGTACAAGAGCATTGCCACGCCAGAGAATACTGCGTAGATGTCCTGGACAAGTTGCAAGCGAGTTCCACTGTGTGCTGAAGTTTCTTCTCCCACCGGCCTTGTGCCCACGGTCTGCACACTTGACGGAGAAGAGACCAAATTCTTCTGTGTGCGACAAGCAATGAAAGATTGGCTCCTGTCGGCATATGCAGGCACTCCTTGCAACTGGGCATGCGCAACGTGACAACCCGTACTGGACGGCTCCTGTGCGCACATGAGCATGAGAATGATCAGCAGGATGAGGTTTCCAAAGTCTTGCGGATTGAGCAGATACCTTACTCGCAAGCAGGGCCGACACGTCTTGCCACTCCACGAAAATTAGCTTTGCACCGAGAAAGCTAAATTGGTTGAAGCACATTGGAATCGGGATCCTGTATGTGCGATCAATGGAACCAGCCTTGATGTCATCATAGAAGAGTCGAATCTGACCTCGACTTCTTGACAAAGTGCTTGGATAAGCTAGTCAGGCTTGCTTGCTTTGTTCCCCACTTCTCGGCAGAGACGAGGTAAGTATTCCCAGGACCGAGGATTGATTGCTCCCGCTGCCGTTCGGGCACTGGGCACGGATTTTGGCCAAATTGGAGAGTCTTCGACAGCCTTGCAACCAACCTGGTGCGGACTTGACTTCCTTCTGTTAGACAGGTTTGGTAGAGCGGATGCACAGCAGCACAGGACTTGGCAAGGGCAGTGGCAGTATCACAGGCGACCTCAATAGTCACATGACGAGAGGTGCTTCGTTTGTCATCACGGCGGATGAAAACGAAAGTAGCTGCGCTATGCTGCAGGACCTGGTTTCAATAAATGGCAGAATCAACAGAGCCTTCGCCGCCCGACTCCAAACTGAAAACATAACGAGCGGATTATGTGAAAAGAGGAATGTAAATCCTGCGGTGGTCACCTCACCCAGAACAAGGAACTGGAGCCTTCTCAAGTGTCCCAACCTGGGATCCCTGATTGGCTTTCAGCTCGGCAACAATGACTTGTGCCGAGCTGCTGTAGAGGATGCGGCACATGCTGCCAAGATAGATGAAGATTCGACAGCAAAACGTAGCCACGCGCTCTTCAAAAGTCCCGTCGGTTTTTCCCAAGATTGCTTGGCCTGCAATGAAAACCTGGCAGCAAGGGTTTCCAAAAGAAACCCGGAACTGCGAAACCGCCCGAACGACACGAGCAGTGCGTTCTTGCCAAGAAGCACATAGCGAGAACAGGAAGTAGCATCGGCTTAACAGGAAATTGTACCTCAGACGCGCAATCCGCCATGAGCGATTCTAACTGAGGAAGAATCCCATCTGCGACATCCATTCGCAGCTATCCGAGCTACTGCGCCAGCCGAGTCCACAAAAGGTCAGCGAAGATCACAACGCATGGATGGCAAATGATCTTAGGGTCATGTCGTTCCACCAACCACTCCAAAGCCATGTTGAAGTTGCTGTTAAGATCCTGTTCGGAACATGAGAGCTGCCACTGCTATGGTCTACTTGGCAATACTATGCCCTCTGGTACACAAGAAGTGTTAGTCAAATTTCACCCGACTGATTTTTAGACGGCCGGACCGTCTGCGTGGAAGCTGTGGCACACATGTGCCTGCAGCCTTCCTACAGAATGAGTGCGCTCCCAGAAGTTTGTCTGGTCTCGGGTAGCTGGGTAGCTGGCTATCTGCGAAGCAGCCACAACTTCTGACAGCATTACATCGACAAACTGATCTGGAATACCGAACGCGTGCCGGGTTCTCTCACCTCTGGCTTGAGCACTGAAGCCGTGAACTGATCTTGCCTTGAAGTGCGATCTACTAACCGAACTGAAGAACGTGCGTGAAAGGTGATCGAAACAGGTGGCAAAAGCAGGTCTCCAACATGCTCTGCATCAAAGCCAGTCCTGCACCAAATTCTTCACCTTGCAGACACAGAGACGAAGTCAAAGACTTAAAGCTAAACGCCCCAATGCTCTGTTTTACGGTGCCAAGCTCTGTCGGGACATGTCAAGATTGGGAAAGATAGCGAAGTAGTTATCAGTTTACTCCAAGATCTGCTCAATTCTCGCGAAGACAATGTTCTGTTCTGGTTTACTGCGTGCGGCCCCAGCTGAGGCAGTCACATAGTAGTTCACGCGGCGTCTTCCACCCAGAGCCTGGCGAGAGCGCCAGACGAGTCCGTCCAGAAGAGGCCAAAGGAGCTGCGGAGCGATGGCACCTCGGCGGAGCTGCGGAGCGAGACTCAGCGGAAAGGGTCACAGCGGCTTACAGCATTCAAAGGAAGTCCTGCCGAGTCGTGCATTTTAAGCGATGGCAACGTCTAACCGCGACAAAGCTGCAGAGGCGTTGAACCACTTCGGGGTGTCGTGTGAATAAATGATCAACGCCGTAGTAGTAGCTGTCTCCTGAGAAAGACAGGCCCTCAAGTCAGTGGTGCAGACTCCGAGGCTTGACCGTATTGCCGCACGATTCTCAGCCCGGCGTCTGTCGGCACGGATCGTCAGCAAATCCTGGATCATGGCCCTGGCACACTCCAAACTGCCACTTTCGATGGCCCAATAGAAGGGAGAGATGGACTGGGTACCCACCGTAATGTTCCTCGGCGGAGTGTCAGTCTTGCTAAACCGGGACCGTGGCAAAACAACGAGCGCTCATCTCTCACTCAATGCCGCGGCACAACAGCTCCATTGCGCGCTTGCTTCGCGGAGCAATAGCCACTGCCTTCTTCAGAGCTTTTGCCTGGTTCGTGTTGATGGCTTTCATCACCTCAGCACGACAGCTCGCTCTTGCCGACAGGTTGAAATTCTAAAGATGTTGGCAGCAGATGAGGCGCTGCAGAATGTTGCAGGTTAAGCGCTGCTGAGCTCCGGGCGATGGTGCTGCCCTCAAGGATAGTGCGCACCAAGATCTTGGAAATCAGCGTCAAGGACCAACGGAAGGCAGCCTCTGCAACCTCGTCCGTGGTCATCATACGCACGGCTTCCACAGCGCACGAGACAAAAGGAGCGAAGAGCTCCGTCGGGATGGCGTAGCCTACATGTCGTAGACCCAGAGCAGAGATGTCCTGCAGACACAGCGCCAACGCAGAGCGATACCACACAGTTTTGTGAAGCGCAACTCCGGGTTTCTGGCACGCAAGTTTTGGAAAATGCAAGCACCAGCCTCCACCATCATGCGAGGGCTGTGAAACATTTCCATCGTCATTTCGAAGATTTTGTCTGCGATGAAGTACAGTCTCGTGGTAGACTGCTTAAAATGGTCCTGCCCGGCCGGGGCGACCTGGAAGAACCTCGGGTGTCGAGCATAGAGAAATGACGTATCCCAGAAAGCCCGAAGCCGCTGTGCTGTACGCTGACCGTACAGGATTGGCATTGCTCGACTGAGCCTGCAACTTCTGGTAGATGTGGCGCCGAAGCTGTGTAACATCGTCAGGTGAAAGACCAGAAATAAAACGCTCTAAAGCCTTCTCTTGGCTGTGTGGCTTGCCCATATGGGACTTGAGCATACGCTCTACGTTCCTTCGCACATGGGCTGAACAGGGAGGAAAGCTTTCCTGGACATTCCCATCTTGCAAGAGCAAATTTGCAGGCAGGGCTCTCCCACAACCAATTCCATGCTACCTCATGTTCGGAATCCCATTCTTTCGGGACCAGGGAGCGCAAAGATGACAGCATAACTGCCTTGGACGGATCGTGGCAAGGTGAAGATGGCAGGCGGAGGCAAAGGAACGACAATTTTCATCGTCTGCTACGTGGCCTTGAACTCCGACAGGTGAACCTGCCCCTCGTGCTTGTCGAGCACCAGTGTCAGCACATCGCACTCCTCTTGCAAACGGTAGGAGTTGGCGACATTGGTCACGATGTTGTGGAACTGGTCGAGAATCAATGTCATCCAGGTGCTGTCAGCAAAGCCCATCACGGCCGCATTGAACAGGAACATTTCGTTGAAGGTAGTTGGAACCTGCATCTGAGGCTGACATGGACATGAGCGTCCTGAGCTCCCTTCCTTTCTGTGACTTGCGGCCAGCCTTCACTGGAGCCTTTCCGTCTTTTCCGGATGCCATGGTCTTGCTAGACGGCTGACCCTGGCCAAGGCAGTGGGCATGAAGACGACACGAAACAGCTTCAGCCTCAGAATGGGACGTTTTGACGCACAACGAGACGACTCCTGATCCCCACCGAACCACCGAGCCTGGACGTCTTTAGACTGAGCCTCATGTGTGGCTGTAGTGTCTGGCTGCTGTGGCTGCGTCTCCTCTTCCTGCTTGGCTTCCTGTGTCTGGTCTCCGGACTTCTCCGCATCTTCCTCTCCATCCTTGCGCATGCGCATTTCAACAAAGCCTCAATTTTTTGCATGCAGTAGCCTCTCCCAGCCTCCTCGCCAGGAGCAGACTTGTTTGCAGTCTTCCAACTTCGCTGTATTGTCCGAATTCGGGAGGCATACTCGCGACGAATGTAAATGTAGGCGCCGCCTGCATAATTCAGCACGGCCTGCCCGGGCTTGAAGGCATGTTAACTGAAGAGGTAACGCATTCACACACACACAGAGACAGACGGCTTTGGGTCGGGTGCATACTGCAGCTGGCCTGGAGGCCAAGTTTAGCTTTTGTCGAGAAGCGGACGCCCAATTCCTCGGAGTCCAGGACTGCTCTTCGACCCAGCTCCTCACTTGGCTCCGCTTAACGCCGAGCAGCCATTTCGAAGAGCTCCACAATAGCTTCACGGAAGATGCCCACTCTCGGAACGGTCACTTCCAGGTCCAAATGCTGGAAGCCAAGGCTCCTCAGCTGATGCTCCACCCGTCGACTCTTTTGAAAACGCGCTGGCTCCGATTACAAACGTAGTCCAACAACTAAGCCGGAGAGAGCTCAGAGGCTCGGCACGTAACACATCAACTTCAAAAGAAGCAGATGCCGTCGTCATGCTGATGTGCGGAGACAGGCTCTCCACTTGTGTCTTGAGCAACTGCGGATTGTTCGCAGCTGAGACGATCGAGGTAAGGCCATTCATGAAGCGCATCGCCATGACTGACCTGCCCAAGGGTCGCCACCCTGAAAATGCCATCGTGGAACTTGCAGGCTGAGACCAGATTGGACTCTGACTCGAGAGACTCCAGTGACCCTAGCTTCTGACAAGCTCACGTGCTTGAGCTCGAGCCTGGCTGTTTTGAACAGACTCTGCAGGCTTGGGGCCGCATCGAAGACTGCCGCATAGATTGCCTCTCCTGCTGCGTCGCCTTGTGGCACCAGACTCACCCCCACTGAGCTGGCAGGTCCAATGAAAAACCACACCACACCCTCAGCATCGAAGTTGCGCCAAGTCGCGACCGCTGAGCTGGGTAATGAAAACGTGCCAGGCGTCTTGGACCTTAGCCGTGAACCCGCTCGCAAGAGCCCCGTTTCGCATTACGATCCGTTCACAGAAGTTGAGACCCTCGAGTAAGGGAAGAACTTCCTGCATGACATCGAGTGGAAAATACGCCTCGGCATCCACAAGAGCCCACATGCTCAAGGCGTGGACCGTACACGGATCTCTCATGCATACCCGGATGACAACATGGAACGCCTCCTCAAAGGTGGCGTCATGCACTTCCAAATGCTTCTGGATGTTCTTGTCTGTGTCCTCCTCAGCCTCAGACATTTTGCCGCATCTACATGGCCCCGGTGCAACTAAGAGTTGCCATGACACAATCGCACACTTATGCTTAACCATCAGGCTGCCGGTTGCTCATTCGGGATGGTGTCATCTCCCTCCTCTGCCTCGGCCGCGTCCTCTGTCGCCTCTTCCTGACACAAAACTCGGAGAAACTGCTTTCGAAGGGGGAGGATCGAAGCCTGTCGAGATCTAGAGTCCCAGAGTTCATCTGGCAGTCTGACCACTGCAGACACTACCGTCGTGATCTTAAGCCGGCGGGAAGCCCATGCCGCAACCACTGCGCATGCTCGTGGGGCCCTTGTCTGCCCCCATGGGAGTTTATGACTGAGGAACGCTCCAAAGGCAGCTCTTCCTGGCGTTCTAGACTTGCGCAACTATGGCCTCCTCAATGTCGTCAGTCTCACCGTTTTCATCCGAAAGGTCCGACATCCCAACGCGGGGGTCGGGCGGAAAGTGAGAGGTCGCGTGGGGTCGCGAGCCAAACTTTGCAGCGATGCGTCGTGTCCTGTGGTTTACTAGCCAAAAGCTGCACAAGAGCCGTGCCAGATCTGCGAAACGAGAACACGCCTTTATTGCACAAGTCTTCTTTATCGCCTGGGCGCTGACGCCCTCGCTGGCAAAAAATTAACAAGGTCCTGCCCTTCTTAGTGGCAGAAGTGCCACCTGCCTTCCCGCACCGAGTCACGTAAGTGTGCTGTGGAGAAGAGGAGCAGCATGTGATGCTGGCATAGCTTCACTGCGACTTACAGGCCGTCTGGCCACCAAGGACTCCAAGCCAGCTCGCCCACTTTGGGTGAACTGTCGCTCTGGTTCTATAACTGTTCTGTGAAACGTGAATTCTGCGGGACTGTTAACCAGCATCCGCGTCAAGAACATGGGCTGGCTGACAGCAGCAATTTTTTCTGCCGGCCGAGTGCCAGACCATGCTTCGTCACTGATCGAAGACAACACCAAAGCTTGGAGAACAACATTTCCGTTGACAACCAACTGCTATCTGACCAAGCACGTTTTGACGCAGTTCTCTCCTTCCCTGCCCGCCTGTCCATCGACGTTAAATGGATGCTGGGCACGAAACAAGCAACACATTGGAAACAATCGTTGGGACACTTCCGGCCGTCTGAGCACACTAGGAGGACTCTTCCTCACTACTGCCAGACTTGTTGCTGGATCCGTCTGACATGGCCATAGACGAGGCGCCACTCTGGCCGCCAGGCCGTCTGTGCTTCTCGCCTCCGCAAAACAGCTCTGATGCAAAAACGCAGTGCTATGTTCAAGAGCTGTTTCAGGCCCTCCTTGTCTGGACGCGAATCGCCCCAAGAGTTTTTGAAATCCATGGTTCAGGGCTAGACTAGTTTTCGCTGACTCCGCCAAGGTCCTCTTCTCCTTTGGTCTTAGTATCTATGGTAAGCTTCGCAATCCTTCCGGGAATTGGGCATGCTGTATCCCCAAGTGAAGGTGCGATTCTAAAGGCGATGGGTCAACTGCAAGCATCCGAGTGGCGTCCCTTATTCAGGTTCTTCGTTGTTCGGATGATCAGCTTCTCCTTGCCGATGCAAGGGCTCAAAATCATTGAAGAGCATTGCCAGCTTTGCGCTGGAGTTGCCAACCAGAGTCAGGTCATGTAGGCTGTACAACTTAAGCGAGTCAAGTCTCTAGCTTCTCGAACTTATCCTCCTGGCCGTAATCTCCTCAGGCTCGCACAACGGATTAAAGGCTGAAGGCAGCGAAGCAGAGAACCGCGACCCGAGAATGCCGAGTGGCCTGGCTCTTCGGGCCATGGCATGGTCGGTGCAGTCGAGCCCCCATAGCGGCGGATGGACTCAACACTGGTCGGGTGCTGACTGGCCGGCTCCAGCACCTGAATGCCTCCCGCCACCCCGACATCGCCCTCGTTGAACTCCTTTGATGCCAAGCTCGGATACAAGTCACGCTAATCATTCTTGGCTTTGATATGAGGCCAGGGAGCAAGCCGTTCGTCGAAGTGCAGAGACTCCAGAAAACGGGCCCAGCTCTTGTTCGACATGTTCTCTAAGGTGTACACAATAATGTGAACCTAGGAGGCTGCTGCAAGATGAGCAGGGCGGAAGGCGAAGTTGCATCAGCGAAATTCCGACCAGGCAGGTCTCGCAGGAAGAACTTGGTTCGCGGCCCGATTTAAGCGTGCGAAGCCTTGCATGTCTTTGAAGCCGTGCTGGTAGGCTTGGTTCAGTTGTGCCACCAGCAAGCTCACGAGGAAGATGGTGACGAGGATGCAGAACGCGTAGACTAGAAACTTAGACAGCCAGGTGTTCTGCACAGCTATACGGCTATACTCCTATGGGTTCACTGCTTCTTTCCTTCCAGCTCCACCCAAGTGGCAAGCAAGACCATATCACTTCGGAGATAGTTCAGGGCCGTCCCGGAGTAGATGTTGAGGGCGATCCTTGGAAGTTAGACCCACTGGTAGACTTAACCCTTGCAGACGGGTGGCGTCCACGCATACCAACAAAATGACATCTATGCCCAGGCAGCACGTTTGATTACTACGGCGTGATACCGCTGCACGCCGAGCTTCTCAGCCAAAGTTAACGAGCCCGATGGAATTCCTGAGAAGTCCTGCATAGAAATTCATCAAAGACACGGACAGCGGTGCTTTGATTCAAGAGTTTCGTCGTATAACTTGTGATTGGCGTTCAGCTTCAGGGCCTCATCACTCTGGCCGCCTTGCTCCAGCGCGCTAATGGATGAGGCTGAAGCCAAGATAATGAAGACGAAAGCCAACAAGAAAAGGCCAACCTGCAGCAACGAGTCAAGCAGGCATGCAGAAATCAGCCAGGCGACTAGTAGAGTCGAAGGTTTACTGTCGAGGCCTACAGCACGAAACAAGGAGCGCCTCAGAAAGGACTCGGCCACATACAAGGATGAATGCAGAAATGCGCCTGTCAGTTCCGGCGGGCTTTGAACGCACGTGTGCGAGGACAGCTCAGACAGCCAGACAGCCAAGGCGCATTGAGAAGACGGAGAGGTTCACAAGCAAGCCCCAGAATAGAATCATTGCTAAACCTTGGGACCAGTTGCAGACGGGGTACATGCTCTCACTTGCTCTGGTACTTCATCTTCTTTTCGCTTGCCATGCTAAGCCTCCGAGGTGAGGCATACCCAATCCCATCTCCTGCTCTGCTCTGCCTTCCTGCCCTGCTTGCCCACCCTGCAGGTTCCAGTGGGCCTAACATTGCCTCCAAAACGAATGCCTGTCCCCACGTACTTCCACAAGTGGTTCTGTTGACATCACGAGGTCTGCATCTCTTGCTGGGGGGAGGAGGTGAAAGAAAGCGCAACTTCGTTTCATGGCCATCGCAGGCATTTCCAATCCAATGAGGGAATGTGGGAGATCTGATTCTTGCGGAAGAATCGAATCCCAAGTTAGCCATGGACAGGGTTCGATGTTTAGAAGGGTTGTTCCGCTGCTTCCATAAAGAATGGACCCTCTGGCTGCCATCTGTGTCTACTTCGTCGTTACACACGAAGCCAGCTAACTAGTTCTGGCGAGGGGCTGGAAAACACAGAATAAATCCGCCTGCGGGCCAAGCCCTCAGCGCAAGCTGTCGTGAAGAGAGTCTCGTCCCCACCCAGGCACCAGAACATCGGCTCTTGCGTTGCCATAATGATCAGGAGCCAAAGAAGGATCAAGCCACCCAAGCCCTGCCATTCCTGCAAGTAGTGCGGGATCGGTATCCGACAATACCGCTCCACGTAGCCTCCTCTACAGTCTGCGCAGAACATTCGGATCTGGTCGAAGATCATTTTCATCATGCAGAACACATAAATAAAGATGCGGCAGGAGAACAGAGCTATTCGCAGGGCTTCAGATCGATCTGCATCATCCACGGCTGAAAGAACAGACTGGCTGACCTGACATGTTCCAAGATTGACTACCATGTAGTACGCTGCTGGGTGTATGCGGGATGTTGCGAAACGACCTGCATCACACCAGGCTCTGGGCCCTAGATCGTCAGAGGGACTGACTACCATCATGGAAGCATACAGGCTCCGGTGCATTAACCAAGGCGCTAAGAAGACGATGAAGGACATAAGAAAGTGGACTCTACCCCGCAGAAAATGGAACTTGCTGATGCCGTCCCAGAGGATATCTGAAAAGAAAACTACGGCAGGATGGCCTGAGATTGAGAATCACGGAATCGCAAGAGCCACGCACTAACGCCGCCACTCTTGTTCACATGTCTCTATGTACTTGGGTTGGCCAGTCGCTGATGATATCGGGATCGCCGTGCTCTTCCAGCCAACTGAGCGTCTCATTTGGGTTCCCTTCCAAGTCCTGAACCAGGTGCTTGACGTAGTAATTGACTCGCCTGGTGCCTCGGTGGCAAACTGCACATGACCTTCCACCGAGATCCAACTGAGGCCACCAAGCGACCTTTGTTGATCCACCGAGATCTCCAGACAAGGCCGCTGAAAAGTGGACGAAGTAGCACCGGCACATCAGTGATCAAGAACTGCACGACATCGGGATGCCGAGTAAACAGGTCATCACACGCGAAGTAATAGACATCCCGATCAGCTCGAATTGTCAGCAAGTCGTCCAGTATGGCTTTTGCGCTGTTGAAGTTTCCACTCTTGATGGACCAATAGAAGGGCGAGATTGACTGGGCACCTACCGAAATGTTGAGGAGATCCTGGGCCCTCTTTCCCCGAGGCGACAAGGCCATGCCCTTCTTCAGGCTGATCTCGTCATTTGTGCTAATCGCTTTCATCACAACTGTGGATCCTTCTGAAATTGCCCTTACCAGGATCTTGGAGACCAGAGTCAGGGACCATTGAAACCCCGCTATGGCCGTCTCGCTCGTGGTGATTTCCCGAAACACATCCACAGCAGATGTCACGAAGGGCGAGAACAGTTCAGATGGGATCGAATATCCAACGTGGCGGAGCCCGAGCCCTGAGATATCCTCGACCATCGCACGGGGCTGCCGATACATCTCCAGGGTGAGCTCTATGATCTTGTCTGCGATGAAGTACAGTCTCGTCGACGATTGTTTAAAGAAGTCAGAGCCAGCTGGCGCCACTTTGAAGAAGTGTAAGAAAAACTCTTGCCGAATGGCGGCCATCGAAGCTTCGGGAAGGCTCATAAACAAATCCGAAAGTGCTTTTTCATGAACCTGGGGCGGAAGCTTCCCGTGGATCATCAACAGAAACAGACGACAGCACATGGAGTGCCGCTGCTGTGCCCGCATTGCTGCTTGCTGCGCAGACGAGGGGCTGGAGGCTTGCCAAGAACTTGTTTCAGCAATCGCTCCACGTTCCTAGGCACCGGGGTCAGAACTATGCGCCACACTGCGACTGCAGAAGCCACAAGCTCACTGGTTGGTCTGCGGGGCAAGCGTCTGCCAAAGCCAATTCCAGGCCACCTTCAAAGGTCTTTCGCCGTTAGGCCCTAATGCACCTGAACATCTGCCTTGCGAACTACCGCAATATCGCAGACATGAGCCCGAAAACACCAAAGCTGAGGCACTTCGTGATCGGAATCCCATTCAGTGGATACTAAGGATCGCAAAGACGCCAGGACCACGGCTTTGAACTCCGAGAGCACGAAAGTGCCTAGGGGGAATGGGGGGTGGTTTAAAGCCGAGGCGGCGGAGCCGAGGCGGAGCCGGAGCCGAGGCGGGGACCCTGGTATTTCGAAAGAACCAAAGCCAGGACGTCGCATTCCTCCTGCAGACGGTAAGGGTTGGCCACGTTGTTCGCGATGGCATCAAGCTGGTCCAGGATCAAGGTCATCCAGTCATGGTTGGTCAAGCCCATGACAGCGGCGTTGAACAAAAACATGTCGTTGAATGAACTGGGAACCATCATTCCATCTGTCTGTTTTGTGATGGCCACACCCTCACCATCAGCATCTCCCACAAGTGAGTCATTGTCATCTCCCATTTCGCCTGACTTGCCTTTCAACCTCCCCGAGGGGGTCTTCATCTCTCCAGGTTCTGCAACGTCCGAAATTCCTGCCGCCTTTTTGTTGGCAGACTTCCAGCTGGTCTGGATGATTCGAATTCTGCTGGCATACCTCAGCTCTGATACCGGAGCTTTAACCCAAAAGCTGGCTTTGTCAGTTTAACAACAGATCTCCGCCATCTCCCTGGCTGTCGAGCGACTCTCGTCTGATGTAAATGAGGGCTCCTCCTGTGTAGTTGAGCAACAGCTGGAAGCCGAATCGGGCTTGATCGGTAAGCCTTGGGCCGAGCTCCTGATCTCAAGCAGAAGCCTGGGATCTAGCGATGTACAGACACTGCCCGCGTGGCTACGCACCTACGACTGCAGCCAGGTGCTTTTAGGCACGTCGTAAAATTACGTCCGTCCTGGTCAAAAAGTTCCAGAATAGCTTCACGGAAAATGTCCACACGTGGACTGCTGACTTCCTGAGCTTGGCAACTTCACAGCATGTAGACTGCTCTGTTGGCCCAACGGCACACACAGGACATAGCTGTGTTCTCTTCTTCAACTCCACTGCGACCAAGTTTCAATGTCCAGGTGCTGGAAGCCTATGGTCTCCACTTGGGTTTTGAGCTGCCCAGGCTTGCCGGCGGCATATACCAGCGAAGACAGCGCTGTCACAAAGCGAAGCGCGATCACAGATCTTGGAGTCTTGAACCTCGGCTCAAAACAGCATGTCAGCAAGTAGTGGCTTGTCGTGGGGAAGAGCTGCCTTCGCCAGGCAGCAGCACCTGAAGGCTGGGCGCGGCCTCGAAAACTGCCGAGTAAATGGCCTCGCCCGCTGCTTCTTTGCCGCCCATAATCGTGATGAAGGCTGCCCTGAGCAAAGATCCCGCAATGACAGACATCCTATGTGAGCTCTCCTGGCACCCCAAGCATCTCCCGATTGTGGCGTGGGCTTAGGCATTCCCCCCGGACCCGGAAGTCGTGCACACAATAAAGCCTTGGGCCTAGGGAGTCAGCCTTGGCTTCACAAAGTGGGGAGGACTTGCCGAGTAGGGGTTTGCAAGTTTTGGGTTACGGAACGGCTCCTTCCATGTTCTGCTGCTCAGACGAAGCTAGGACTGAGACTCTCGGACTATCGTCCTTGATTGCCAAAGGTGCAGAGACTTCCGAGGTCCCTGCTGTTAGCAAGCCAAGACTTGCGGCACAACAGATCATTGCCAGCGAGGCACAGACAGTTTTGCACCTCTTCCACCACATCGGGAGGAATCTGGATTTTGTCAAATGTCTGATCATACACGGAAAGGTACTTGTTCAGTTCGGACGCGCCCGTGGCTTCCTTCTCTTCGAAGGATGCCTCCTTTGAAGCTGCGCCCTCCTCTTGATCTTGATCAGGTTCGTCCATTATGTTGGAGCCGTACCTGTCGGCGATTCCTGACATTCCTGACTCCTGCATGGAGTCCCCATTGTAGCTTCCACTCGCCTGCTCCGAGCCCGAGCCTGAGGACATTGCCACCCAAGCCCCGGTCAGCTACGGCTGACACCTTGAGCATGAAAGGCCCGCGCATCATCACGTGGGCTCTAAACTCTAAAGAGCATTAGTACATCTTCTGGACCTGCCGTACCGGCTGTACCGTGTCCGTTTCCCCGACAATAAAGGTAGAATGAGAACGTAACAGGAACTGACTGATGAGTTGCGGGTGGCCCGGGCTCCGCAAACACTATCAACCAAATTATAATCACGCGATAAACGTCCATGGACGGACTTCACGGCTGTCGATCCGAGACTTGCCTCCATCCTTCCTACAATCCGAGCCGTCCACGCGAACTTGGTGAGGAGGGTTGATGCCCTTCCTGCAAGGGCGAATGCACGACTCTGACAGCCCTCGCTTGCCGAATTAGGCCACTAGCTACGAGGATTCGGGGGGGGGGATGGACTCCAAGAGGCGGAGAGAGACTCAGGGGACACGGCTTCTGCACGAACAGAGGGGCCGACACAGCCTCTGGACTGAAGCCCGCAGCTTAGGATCGGGCATCGTCAAGCTGGCCAACTGCAAGAGGCCGCGGCCACGCTGCGGCTGGCGACACATCACAAGGCGACAAGGCGACAAGTGTCCCAAGTGTCCCGATCCCCCAGATCCAATCTGGAGCGGATCGGGCTCAAGCAAGCCTCGCGACTCAACTTTTAGCCAGGCCTTGGACCCATTGTAGAGCAAGGGGTATTGCCATGTGGAGCAAACATGTAGCCTCACAGCACGGAGCACAAGCTGCCCAGACGAGCTCTAGTGATTGCTGCAGCCATGCCGAACTAGTTGCTGCCCTCACCTTGGCTCCACTTCGGCAATGCTCCTTCCATCAGCCACCTGGCACTGCAAAGCTAGCAGCTAGCAGCTTCATGCCAATCTTCCTCTATGCCATGCCTCGAGGGTCGTCTGGAGATGAGCTTCGGGCTGGGCCATAGCTGACAAAGGCCTTGATCAGACGGGCCAAAGCCATGGGTCAGATGAAGAAAACAATCCGACGACGCGCTGACAACATGGGAATCGTCTTGGCTTCAGTGGAACGTGATTGCAGTTATTGCGAACGTGCACGGTCTCGTCTCTCGGATGGTCCTCATGTCATGGATCAAATGGAAGGGCCAGGCATGAATTGAGCTGCAGCTGTCAAAAGTCAACTTGCTGGACCAGAACTCCGCGATTTGAATCCCCGAAGCACTGCGCGTATTCCAAAAAAATATCCCCAAGGCTTCTTCCTGCATGTTCCTGACTGATCGCAATGATTTCCAAGCTGGCCAGCTGTCAGCTGGGTCATTGGCAGCCAGGCGTTGCTCCAAGGTCCCCATGCAGAATAAGAGGACCTGCTAGCATATCCCTGGTTCGGGTACAATTATGAGTGCAAGATGAAACAGCTTCCCAGTAGCTGACATGAAGGTCTCAAAGAAGCAGATGTGCAAGTAAACATCTGCAGGATTGGGCCTTGCTCTGGCACGCTTCGACAAAAGCAAATTTGATGTCGGTCTTGTCAGATGCCCGGACTAGGGCCCGCACTCAGGGCTCACGAGCTGCACCGCCAGCTCGATTGGTTTCTCTATCCTGGAATGCTGACAGCGATTTCGAGCTGACTAGCTGACTATGCTGCGGCTGGGGGCTGCACTGCAAAGCGCTCTCGGCCTCAGTCACGGCTGCTTCCAGCTTTTGGCGTTTTGGTGACTCGGCTGAGTATGGCACCGGTCCGACCTCGAGCAGCTCGCAATGAAACTCCTGAAGGAATGTCAGATCATGTGGAGATGAAAGCAAGCCGACAGATTTTCCACTGAAGCCCATTCAAACTTCCCAAAATTCTACAGACTCCTGGTGTCATGTGTCTGTCATTTTTCAGGGTCCTGAACTTGCCATCTGTGAAAGATCTGCGCCTGCAGGCAAAAATGTTCACGGCGTCCAATCGGAAGCTTTCAAGAGCAACACAGCACGAAAAAACCAAGCCGGCCTCTAACTGCCAGGGGCCTGCGCCGACTTCTCCTTTCCTGGTCTTTTCAAGAAGATACATGACATGCGGAGAGCTCCACAGGGAGTGAGGTACAGGCGTCTTGCACGGGCCCGGGCCCCGGCCGGCCCGCAGGACCAGCTCACCACCTGAAGTTCCGAAAGAGGAATCGGGCTTTCATCGCGGAATCGGAAGGCCGTAAGGTACTGACATTCTGCCTCAACTGGATATCTCCAGCTGGTGCTCAGCTGTAGAAGCATGTCCTCATCCTCGTCTCGGTATGAAGAGCTGCGGAACTCTGGAACGTTGCATTGGGAGCTGGGGCACGCGCGGAGCCGGCAGACTTAATGACCTTAAACACTTCTCTCATCTATGCTGACGGATACGAAGCAGAAAGAGTTGGACAAAGCGTAACAGCCACCAGTGCTTCAATTTTAAAATTTATCCCCCTTGGCCGCCAGCCATCGGACCGCTGTGCCTGTGATGAAATGCGGGCAGCCAGGCGCACCATTCCTGGCAAGGGATCCACGATGCATGTCGGCTTAGGGATCGATGTCGTGAGCTTCATCAAGCTGTGGAAAGCCAGCAGCGAAACCTGCCCATCATCATCGATCTTGCGGAGACAGGTCTTGACCTCCTTGCCAAGACCTCGGCCAGACCCGGCTGGGTGCAACTTATTGTACGGACACCATCACAGCACCTTTCCTGAGGCCAGCCGCCCTCTCCCAGGGTCTTGGCCACCTTGTGATCTCATTCGACATCATTGGAGACGGTTTCGGCAGTTCTCACAACCATTCAAGCCTCACCGGCAATTCGCTTTGCTGCAAGTGCCGCCAGGTTGGCCTCAGAAAACGCAGGGGCTCCTTTGCATGCGGCGGCTCACAGCACGGAGACACACAGTGCACAGGTCCGAACAACACTGCACCCGGCGAAGACAAGGGCTTAGCAAGAGGCCGTGATATCTACTTCGGAAGCAGGATCACGGGAAAGGCGACCAAAGGCTACCAGTAATTCCTGCAGCTTGTGCACAGGGAAGTGTGCGATGCAGGCATGCCCAGAGTGCACATGCTGCGCCTCGTCCTCCCTCTGAAGCTGCAGAGGCGTGAGAGAACCCAGGAAGTATGCCTGAAACCAACATATCGAACTCGACGTTTAGCGACTCCTTGCCGGCGCTTTCCAAGCCGACAGCCTCGCAGAGATGCCGAAGTAGCTCGCCGGAATGGGCCAAGCCTCGCACTCGACTTCGACATGACCTCCTACTCCTCCATTCAGGAGTCCTCCATGACTGGTCTCACGTATTTTGGCACCAAGCCAGGGGCACGGAAGCGGATCACGGGACTGCAAGAGACCTCCACAGCATAGCGTATCCCTGGATTGCGTCCGGTGCCACACACAACATGAACAAGATGCTGCAGGAACACAACATACACACACATACACACACAACCTTCACCGAATCTGAGCTTAATGCGCTTTAGCTGCGACAAGTCACATGTCGCCAACCTGAACCGCACGATAGGCACGAACCCAGAGCAGTCGCATCAATCCGGCGTGTGAACTTGCCTCAGGGTCTGTGCTGTGTTCGGCTTGTTCAGCGACAGCACAGCGGCCAGAAGAGAGACCTTCACACATGTTGCCGCTGACACTATCAGAACTGTCTCCATTCGTCTCCGCAGGTGAGAGAGGCAGGTGCCGGAACCGAACGGTCTACCTCAGCAGAAGAGGAGATGTAGCCTTTTGTACACATCTGCCGCACACACCGAGCAAAAGGCAGCAGGCAATCGTTGGACAAGGCGCCTCTTGAACTCCAGCCTCGCTTGCACATCGCTGACTCCAGGTTTATTCCGCCTCAATCTTGTCCGATCGACTGAGGGAGTATCGGGATCGATGCCAGCATTGCCTGTCACAACTCGTTGCAGGGCATGCAGCAGTATATCCAGAACAGCTCTCGGCGATTGCATAACGCCCAGCAAACAAAGGGACAAATCCGCATCGAGGGGCTATACTGCCTTTTGAGCATATTTGCGTGCGAATTCTTCTTGAATCTACGATGTAGGGCAACGCGAGACTTGTCGGGTTAAGACTCTCGGGTTTCCCCGACGGGTGCTTTGGAAGCCGAACCGTCGAGAACCCCGGGTCCGTCGTCCGCAGCTTCCATGTCACAGGCGTCGGCTTGAACAACGCCTCGCTCTAAAGCTTCCTTCATTGCACCGGGGAGAGGGAGCTGCTGCCCTTGAAAGCGTTGCAGTGAAGCTTTCCCTGCACTGAACCTGTCGGCTCATGCCAGGGAAGGCTCGACACGGTGATACGCTCGACACCGGGCTGAGGATTGCCGTTTAGCATCGACGCCAAACTGGGCCGGCTAGCTTGGAGTATCTCACGGATGCGTTCGCCAGTCCTGAAGCCCAGCTGACCAGCATCTAGTTTTCAGCCATTTCAGCTGGGCAAGTTCAGGCTGAGAGCGAAGGAGTCCTGCTACCTCATAGCTTCAGAACTTTCTGCAACTCGACTGGTTCTTTCAGCGCCTGCTCCTTTGCTCTTGCTGGAGAGTGGAAGACCTACATCAACAATCACACAAACCTATCCAAGATCATATCGAAAACTCTGGCCAAGTCCTGTACAGGCAGAGGCGTGCAAGCTGGGACAACAGTTCTGTCTTTTGCAGCAGCTGACGGACTTGGCACAGGGTCTTGGCTGATTCAGAGGCAAACCAATGAATCCTGGTTGCCTGGGCGGTATCGCTCGCATTGGAGCTTTGCCTGTGGAGCCGTTGAGCTAGCCATACTGGATTTGCCAGTAGGTCGCTGAAAAAAGGTCGCAGATTTTGCAGCCTACCCGACTGCCATTGCCTCGGCCCAGGCAGCAGCAAGCAGAATGGCACACGATCCAAGGAAGCAAGCATCCTATTCTGCCCAGAAGCTTGCTTCCTCATCTTGTCCTTAGCTGCATGCAAGGCGCACTGCACCTGTTCCTTCACAACCCACGAAAGCCCGACTCCCCAAAAGCTATCTGCAAAGAGAGGCACTGCCTTGTAATCTCGGGCGTACTGGAGCTTACACTCACGAGCACTGTAGCGTCCACCCATCTCCCTGCTCACCTGAACCATCAGCTTGTGAGCTACATGAGATCATGCAACGCAAGATGTCATCGCACCTGAAGCCAGATTTGCTCTTTGTCGGAGGTGCCAGATCGGACGACGCGCTTTACCTGGAGCCCCCAGCTTGAAGCAACACTAGCCGCAGCCATGCCGTCTTTTTTTGTTACGCAAAGTTACCAGCCGACGGAGCTCCATGCACTCTTCAGGGCTCCACGTCGAGGCCGAGGTCTCCACATCCTTCGAGCAACAATCGGGAGTCGGGAGCCAACCGTCAACCGGCACGTGGCTCCGGATCTGAAGCGGATCTGTGAGGCCCAGGCCAGGCCGATGCTGTAAGGAGCAGGTGGCGCCAGGCTTTGCGAGAGCCGTGCCGAACTGGGTGCCAAGTCATCTCCTCGAGATCCGCAGGGCCGACATGGAAGATTCAATATCGGAAGCAAATGTGTTGCCAACAAGGTTATCTCGAACTCAGATCGGCACCAACGCCCAGGTCATTCAGGTCATTGAGCAAGGCATCCATGATGTCACCTGTCTGATCGACATGAATACCGGCACGTGAAATTGGCAACGGACATCAGCGGACTGTCACTCTCTCCGGCACACGCAGCTCGAGCTGCCGGCCTCGCGAATCCGGTGAGGCTGCGCGTGAGTTGGCCATGGAAGCACTGCCCATGTGAAGTGGCGGAATGTCTGGGAAGCCTCGTCAAAAGGGCTATACAATCACATGGCAGTCCGCCAGCAGAAGCACGAGGAAGCCAGCAATTAAGTCAAGGCCACCTGCCCGCTCGCGTTCTGTGCCTCGGCGCATGCCGCTTCATGTGGTCTCTTCGAGAGCCCAGAGCCCTGCGTCAAACCAATCGGGGCCCCCAGCTGACAGGTACCGGGCTCGCCTCTGGCTCCAGGACGAAGCTGTCCTGGTAACAGAGTTAGAGACGGTGAAAGCGCATAAAGCGCCCATATCCGTATGAAAACTACGACAAACACCCACCCGCAAGCCGTAAGCTCGAGGCATTGCTGCCAGCTGCACGCAGCGCAAAGTCTTGGGGGTCGATCACCTCCGGGTCCTGTTACCAGAAGTAGGGCTTGCGTGGCTCCAGTTGCTCGTGCAGGCCCAGGCTGCCTCATGCCTGTGCGGTGCATCTCCAAGGATCCTGAAATTGCTGTGCGGCTGACTGCACACTTGTCGCCAGATTTGGGGATCTGAGAGCTTGACTTATCCAGCTCTGCATCCAGATCCACATCGTCCACACAGACCTGCGTCGTGCGATCTGCCACCGTCGCAGCACCGTGCGACGTGCGAGCGACCGATGACTCGCCTCGCTCTTCGGGCGGCTGGGCGGCGGAGCTGGCGCAGGCGGAGGCAAAACTGGAGTTTCCGGGCGAGAAGCCTGGAGCACGAAAAGATCGCGCTGTGAATCAGGAGACATTCCTGTAGGAGCTGACAAGGCCTGTGCCGTTCCAGATCCGGTCGGTGGTGCCTCTGCTGCTGTCTCAATCGTCTGAATCTCTTGACCCGTCAAGCTCCGTTACAAGCCAGCGCGACCTGCCTCGTTCATCTGGAAGGAGTGGCGAGAGTCGCAGCGCTCTGACAAGAATGCTGCTGAAAGGGCGGCAGCAGAGTTTCCACCCTGAGTGGCCAAATCGCTGTGCATGATTTGTCAAGCACCCCAAAAGACTGGGCTTGCGATGTGAACAACTCTGGAAGATAGCCCTCGGAGGATCCGACAGATTTAACAGTGCTGCCAGGTTGCCGTAGAGCGACTGGTATCCAGTCGGTCCAGGTCCATTGGAGGAAGTATGGAAAAGAATCCGTGCTCCAGAACCTCGCCGCAGGTGCTCGCAAGGCAGGAGGCAGGAGGCAGAGGAGGAGAGAAGTCTGGAGCCGGCCTTCCTGGCCATGGGTCGGCGCCGTGGATTTAGTAGGAGAATCTCTGAAAGAACGGCAATGGCACCTGCAATCTCTGCGAGGCTTCGAGCTTTCGAGAATGCCGATGCTCTTGAGTTGCCGGCGGCTGGAAGCTCTGGGGATCACGGACCTTGCTGGGCGTGCATGATATTGTAGGCTGTGTCGGCATGCTGCTTGCGACTCTTTTCGTGTCCGTGTTCCTTCCAAGGTTCTCGAGAAGCTTTTGCCGTATCAACCGAGCATTGGGAATTCAGTCCGACTTTACGAGTGGACCAGCGAGACTCCGGATACTTGTAGAGACGGAGAGCCTCCAGCTTGTTGAGCGCAGATATTGAGGACTGTGCCGCTCGCTACGGCAGACACTCAGACGGGAGAAGGGGCAAGGAGCCCGGATGCCAACAAGCCGACACAAAGCTAGCAAGACCGAACCTGGCCACAACGTGAAGTCAATCCCGTAGTGCGTCCAGCAACTGTTCAGGATGCTGAGCGGTGGCTCGTATGACTCAAACAGCTTCCCCACTCTGCAGACGTGAGCATACTCCTGACACAGTTCGTTAGTTTGCATGGACTTGCCATGACTATGGTGGGGTTCATGTCCGTTCAATTCATGATTGCTCCTCGTTCTTATGCAGCTTGCTAAATGCCCTCTTCCGATTACTGAGACCCAGACTGCAGCCCAGCACCTGATGATGATGGCACTCGAAACCGGCAGGCCTCTGCCAGACGAGTGAATTCCTCGGTCACATGAACGGCAGATGGCAGGGACGGTTCTTCTGCGGCAATAGCAGTCGGGGGCACTTTATACTAAGCCCCTGTCAGGCCAATCAGATATTGGCTGCCCAAGGACCTCGACGAAGAGCCGCGCAGTGCTACGACTCAAATCGACTGAAGCTTCCAAAGTGCTGCCGAATCACTGAGAAGATCTTGTATAGCTGGTCCATGCTCGAGGATCCCATGAACACGGGAGACCCGCGCAGAAGCTCGGCGAAAACCAAACCCGAAGACCAAACATCCTCAGCACAGCAGGTGCTGCACGTTCTTAACGGTCAAGGTCGCTGTTCGCTCGAACCTTTGCGAGCCGTTATCGTGGCTGGTAACAGTGAGTGGCTGTCTTGGTGCAGACATGCTGCCACTGGTGAGGAATAGCCCCGATCTCTCAGCAAACACTCCGGAGCTCGGTACCATCGCGTACCCACATAGTCCGTGAAGGGTGGCCTGCCAGGCGCCGAGGCTGCCGAAAGACAGAAGCGTAAGCTGACCCGCCTTGCTCGAAGAGACCGGGATTCGCCGAAGTCGGCTATTCGAACAACTTCCCTCTTCGTCTCATAGAGAACGTTCTCGGGCTTGATGTCACCTTGTTCGTGCTCCACTGCAGTTTTGGCATGACTATCACGAATAGCGGTTTACCTGTTGCATCCTTCTGCACCAAGAAGCGATGAAAGAAATTGTGTTGGTGAATGTGCGCGAGGCCTGGGTCAAAGAGGCATCACAGCTGCAACCATGACATTGACAAATTCCTTCGCTGACCAAATGCAGAAGCTCGATACCCAAAACGACTTACACTCAAGCTCAGGCAAGCATTACACGCATTGCTGCGCCATGTCGCTCTTTACGATTTCAGCACAAGAATCTCTGACACCGACGTTGCTCGACACGGGACTCGACATGGACCGCTTCACAAGACGACAGTGCTCACTCGGCAAGCATCTTTGCGCCTGCGAAAAGCTGCCGGGCCAAACCGGCGGCAAAGGTTTCGTCCAGGCCGGATGGGTTCTGCCTCTGCAGGGCTTCGACAGCTCTCCCAGCTTTGTATACCGTATATAGGCAACTGCCAGCTTTCCACCGCCACATCGCCTGACGAGCCGGCAAAGATCGCTGTCGATGTACTCAAAGATGTAGTACCTTGGCGCCAGGGCATCACTTTGACCTCTTGCTATCTCTTGCTCTATAACACTTTTTCGAAACTTGAAGAATGTCTGCGACCCAGCCGCAAACTTCCGTCCAGCTGGTTCCGCAAAAGCTCTTTGAGTCGGACAATGAAGGGATGGCGCAACCTTGACAGACAGAATCCTTGTTGGACGAATAAGCTCCTGGAAAAACTGAGACGCTGACTGTCGCAGAGCCGCCAGCTCTGTCGACTTGCATGCTTCATCCCAGGATTTGGCACCCAGCTTGATCTGCTTTACAGCGACCAACTCCTGCTTCTCAGCCGTTGTGCTGACTGAAAGCATGCTAGGCTCGAGATTGACATTTGGTTCATATGGTGCTGTCCTCCGTCTTCTTGTGCCTTGCCTTGTAGACTTTTCCGAATGCTCCCTCGCCCAGGCGCTCCAAGACATCATAGTCCTCGAGGCAGAAGGTGTCAGGATGTATGTCCGGGAAAGCTGCCGTCATCTGGCCTTCTCTATGGCCATCTATATGGCCATTGGGAGAACTTCAGCTCAGGCCTCCGCACCTGTCGATCTCACCAGGGTACGTTGGGGCGAGCCAGTCTGGACATATCATAGCAAAACGTTACTACACTGCACCCTCAGAACCTCCTCGCAGAAGTGGGCTGCACCGACAGAGCGCCTCTCACCCTCCAACACCCTCCTTGCTCCCAGCACTCAGGGCATTTGAGCCAAGAGGTGTGTCACCGCAATTGCTGCATGCCCTGACAGATCACCATCGGCGAGTCACAACGGAACGAATCGTGTTTACGGCTGACGGTCTTGTTTTGATCTGCTTAGCGAATTCTGGCCTTTCTCATCTTTCAAGCCTTGACCTGACCCTGCCCAAACATGTTTCAAGTCCTGCAAGCTTATCGTCTGAACCTCCAAAGATGCACCGGCTCCACGAAGCGGTCGCAACCTTGCGCGAGGCGAACCACGTGCATTGGGCCATCAAAGTCTGCTTGTGGAAACTGTAATGCCCGTTCCTGTCGACTCACCTCCAAGGCATAAGGCTGGCACATCACGACCTGGGCAAGAAAGCGGTTCGCTTGCACTGCGTGACACACGTCGTGAGCCAATTGAGGTCAGCAGAATAAGTCCGACTCAACACTGCATCCATAAGATCTATGCTGAGAAACAAAGGCGGCAGCCGAAACTTCGCCTGTCTGCGGATTCAAAGCCTCATGTCAAACAACCGTTCGATTGGGGGAGCAAGATTCACCTACGTAGCATCTTGTAGGCCTCAGGCTGGCGACAAGGCAATTGGTTGAAAGTCCAAGCCTTCACAGGCTTGGGCCAATTACACCGTTGCCGCAGGCGGCAAGTAGCTGGGGGACGCACGAGACCAAAAACGAAGGAGAGGCCCCGTCAGACCTGACGACGACACACTCTGATCTGCTCAGAACCCAAAACTGCTCGCAAAGCAAAGGCATCGGCCAAAAGATGCACCCAGCCAGGCACAGCAAGGCAAGTTCAGAGGTCCTTAAACTGGCGGTCAACTCTGGCAGCGGGGCACGCGACAGCCACGGAGTCTGAGAGCTTGCACTCAAGAATGAGCTGGCTTCGTCCTCTGCACAAGATGCCTGGGGCACGGCATCCAATGGTTCAAGCTTTGGCTGCAGCAGCCTGCCTCGGGAGCACTCCGACTGTTGAGATGGATGAGAAGCTGCTGCAAAGCCTCACCTGGGAAGCCACTTGCAGAGCTTGAGAAGCTTCCTTGATCTGCGTGCTTTTGCACAGCTTCTGTTCTCCCGAGTCATTTCGTTCGGGAGCTTGGAGAGCATTCACGTGGGGATCGACCCCATCGCAGTTTCATGTCATTCCCACGATGATCGCAACATATCAGCCCTCAGCCCGCCCGCTGAGCCTTGCACTTCCGAAGCCCCGGCCACGTAGACGTGGATCGCACACAATCCGTGCGACACGCAAGCCTTCTGCGCCGAGGCATTGCAGCCAGCAGGAAGCAACCTTAACTACTAGTCCCTTGCTGCAACATCTACCTACCAGCGCTGGAAAAACTGACAGGGTACATAGCCTCGTCGAAACCCTTGACACACAACAATGTAGCAAAGGCAAAATCGAAGAACGGCTTTACTTTCAAGGAGTAGACGCCAAACAGATAGAACCCAGCATTCCAGAGTGTCCAAGACCACCCGACACGCCCAAAATGCGCACTCCACTGCGGCGGGAGCACGATTCCACGAACACGCAGTGTGACGGGAGCACGCGTTGCAAACTTGTCATACACAGCCGATCGCCTCGCACTCTTCCGAGGTTAAACTCTGGGAAGTCCTGCTGGCAAGCTTGCTGCTTGCTGCGTAGCAATGACAGCCACCAAAAGTCAGAGCAGAGAATAGTTCGGTCCTGCTCCAAAGCGAACGTTGTCAGGTGCGAGCGTGACAGGCGGCTAGACCTGAGAAACGCCAAAGGTACGTGCGTTACAAACGTCCGCTAACGCGAAGACATGCTAGGCCCTAGCTAGGCTGGGATCTTGGCCCGCGGTCATCTGGCAGCAGCCTCAGGCTTCTGATTCTGGTCAGGACCGGCAACTGGCGACGTCAGGTGAGGCTTAGGCTCTGGAGCTTCAAGAATGCAAACCAAGACCTCAATCGCAGCTGAGTCTCCTTGAAAACGTGAAGGATATCGAAAATATTTCCAAGTAGCAACAGGATGGAGCTCAGCGGTAGCGCATCTTGATGAAATAGCAATTTGCGAAATCCCTTGCGCTCTGTTTGACTCCAGCATGGCCGTGATTGGCTTGTCCTTCCTGCCTGCCTTCCCAGTCTTCTGATGCTTTCTCGCTTCCCTTCATTGCCGCATGCCCTCCATTTCGCCCCAAGGCACGACTTCTGCCTCCCTCTTCGTTACTTCGTTGTCGTCCGGGCTCCCTCCTTCCTTGATTCCTTGATTCCTTCCTTCATCCTTCCATCCTGCCTTCCTTCGCTCGAGTAGCTTAGGTGAGGTCCTTCCTTCCTTCCGTCCTTGCTTCGCGTGTTTCCTTCTCTGCTTGCCTCCGTCCGCGTTCCTTCCAATTTTCGTTGACATTCCTTCCGTCCGTCCTGTAACTGGACTCGGTACTGAATGTCGGTGATCAGGGTTGAGGTTGCCCTGGATCCTTGTCGATACCAGTCTACATTTCTACATGGTCCTCATTTCAACAGCAGGAGTTGCAAACATTTTTCTGCACCTCCTGCTTGCAAACTCACCACATTCACAACTGACAGCATAAGGCATCTGCAACTAAGGGATTTTGCTGCTGTCCTGGTCCTGATCCATCTTGCAGCAGCATGATTCACAATGCCGTTGGCCAGATCACATCATGTCCTGGTGCCTCGCTCGGAACCAGAACCATGGCCCGCATGTACCTCGAGCGAGCATGAAGCCCATATGCTCTGTCCGACGACCAATGAGAACAAACACGCTCCAATGCGGCTCACTCTTGCACCAGCATGTTGGTGACATCGCTTGCAGATGTGCGGTAATGCCTGAGCACGCGCTGTGGTCACTGTGGTCGATTCTCGATGCAGGACAACAGAGGGAGGACTTGGTGCAGAGCGTTTGCAGAAGTGCCGATACGGCTGTGGCAAACTCCTTGCGAAGCAGGGAAAGCTCAAATCACTGCCATGTGAGACTCTCAACGGGCCAGCTGGCAGTGGCCAGCATTCTCAGAAACCGACACCATGGCCCGAAACCATGGCCTGAGCAGACCGCATCACGCCTGCCGAACAGTCAAGCGCAGTCATCCGACTGGGGTGGCAGCAGGGCAGTCCAGCGCCCAGAGCCGCGTGTCACATGGATCTGGGTCAAAGAAACGATGAAAATGCCCAGAAGACAGTGTTTTCGTGTGCTCGGTAAAGGCTTGCTCGAAACTTCAAGTGCCCTGGCTGCTTCGGAGACTGGGCTGCCAACCACAGCATATCTCGATGTCATGCAGTGGGATGTCCTTGCCACGAGCAGTCCAACAGAGAGGCGTGAGCCAAACCAGACCAGGAGCTGAAGCTAAGTGCGTTGCAGCCCCCGCACCCAAGAAGAGTAAAGAATCCTTGACTGACAGATGCAGTCTACAGCGGAGCACTGGCATCGCGCCTTGTCACCATCAGGCTCCGGCCAGGAGAGCTTCGACCGGACATCCACGTCCGTAGCGCACAGGTTCCTGATGGGCGCACTTTCCTAACATCCTTTCCCAATCATCTGTCCACATGTCCTCCAATACGAGCCGTATCTGCTTCGGCCCTGTGCCACAAGTGATATGACATGTTGCCGTCAATCAAGGAGCATTGCACGATGGACGCCTTTGGAAGTGCTGCTATCCAGCAATACCTTCCTCGGCATCACTGATACCCGATACACAGGAAGCAGGAAGCAAAACTCGAGGCCGCGGCCACTCGATAGCACAACCGGTACCCTCACAGCTCGATGTTGTACCAGCCTTCGTGGCTATGGAGGTGGCCATGCTTTCTGCGCTATGCGGGGGCTACGTTCGCACTCTGAGGCTCACATTTTCATCATGTTGCTGGGCAGGTCGCCAGAAGCATGGCCTCGATCGGCACAGACCTGAGCCCGAAGTACGGCCAGACACCCTTCTCTCCCAGCCGCACTGCCGAACTCAACCACTTAAAGATCCCGGACTAACTGCGAGTCTCTACTCGGAGGCTTAGGCCTCTAAGAAGCCTGGCCAGGAAATCAGGTTGTGAACATGGATGTGCCGGGAAGAACGCTTCTCCGACGGACAGCTTCTGCTACTCTAACCTGATCCGAACTTCCCGATCAGGGAACTGTGATCCAACTTACTCCCCTGTATTCCCAGTAATTAGCGAAGACTCCGTCGCAAGCTTCTGCTGCTTTGCGCACGCGTGCAGGCCGTGTCTACCTCTTACATCCGTCACGGCCTATTGAGGTTTCCTGCTGCTCTCGACTCTCTCTCCCGACCTGCACCCTGCAGTGAAGTGCATGAGGCTACCGAGATTGACTGGCAAAGCTGTACTGCTTCGAGAGCCGTACGCGAGAGATTTCCAGATGGTAATTGGCACGCTTGCCACCTGGCGGGGACATCTTAAGTTAATCTTGAGTGCCTGACAAGTAGACATAGGCGACACTTGAGGACAAATGGAGACTTGAGACTTAGTTTTCAGCTTGCAAACACCATTCCTGGCGGCTCCGACAGAATGCAGATCCGGCCTCGTCCAGTACCAGCAGTACCCGATGGCCCATAGCAGAGAAGGCAGAAAGCCTCCAGCCACTGGTTTGCTCACTTTCAAATCACGACTGAGAAGAACAGCGGCAGAACAGAGAGACTGTCTAGAATCGAGAAGCATTTGCAGACATCAGCATGATCGATGTAGGGGTTTCGACTGCTCGTCCGACGGGCGCTTCAGGCCTCGATGAGCAAACTAGAAAAGGCCGCCCTTAGGCATGAGGGCCCTGTGCTCACTGAGAAGGGTCGTCCCTCTCAGTCTAGAAACTCAGCCACAACCCAGCTGTTTGGCTCCGAAGTCGGAAGTCTTCACGAAAATGATGTAAAGTACACGGTTGAGCGGGAGCTGGGCCTGCGGCATCTATCATGGCTCAAAATGTGCTGAAACAGCTTGGCCTTCAATCGTTGCATCAACGATTTGATACAACCATTAAATTACAGGCAGCCCTGTCAGCACATCATAAAAAACACTCAGGCAGGAACGAAGTCACGGCTTTGTTCCGCCGACAATAGTACATCGTAAAAAACACAAGCATTCACCATCCGGCAGTCTCGGCAGTGTGCGAAGTCGCCCTGAGGTCAGACATTCAAGTGTAATCGTGCTCGCTTGCGAAGAATACATCTTCGGGGCTATGTGGCTGCCAAGACCACATCCTGCAATGAACTATCTTGCCTTCGACTTCCAACGCTGCAGAAGACCTCCGTCGCAAACGGGTGCCTGTCAGCACAGCCAGCAATCTTCACCTTCAGTCTCGACGCACTTGCAGGCTACCCGTTTCAACTGCAGCAGAACCCAAATCGGCCCAGTGGATAAACTACTCGGAGTCATGGGCCCGATCAAAGTGGGTCGCACTAAGACTATCACTAGCAGTCCAAGATTTCAAATCAAAAGCCCGCAGCCTCCACGGCCACTCTTCCGCGCGACACCGGGGGGAAGGTGCAAAGTTCGGTTGCTTGCCATTGGAGATACTCATGCCACAGGGCCGTGGCCAGTGGCACTTCCATCCTCGCTCTCAAAAGAGGTCAGTCGGTCAGGCTTGGAAGAAGCACCGGCAAGCTGCCTCAAAACGCTGGCCAGGCCACATGTCTAGTGCTGCCATGCCAACTCTTTCCGAAAATTGATATCAAAACCTGTGAGATCTGGTGCTCTCAGCCCAGACGGATGCTTCGAGCAGAATCTGCGATACATTCTTTGTCAAGGAATAAACGGCAGGGACCGAGAGCAAGTTGAGAATCCATGCACATTCTGCCAACTGGAATTTTCCAGACTGGCGGTCACGCCACGCACACACACGACGCGCATGTAAGTATGTCTTGGGTCTTGAACGAAACAACACAAAGACTCAAGTGTGTGCGAAGTCAACTCGCTCCTGCGCTCCGAATTGGCACGCCGGCATGCTCTGCGGTTGCCATGGATCTCCCAGCTTCAGACACACGGCCTTCAGTGCCGTTAATGCCTGCTGCCTGCATGTGCTGATCCCTTGGCGGGCCCTGGTCTTTGACATCTCGAGAAAGCGGCCTCGCTGCGACAGGGCGGTTCAAAGGCTGCGGCAAGGTGCCCTCCACGGAGTGAATCGCAGACAGCTTCCTGCGGAGGCCAAGACTATCAGACTATCACAAGATGCCTTCCGATCTAAGGTCGCGCCTGCAGCACTACAAGTAAAGTGATAAAAGATGCGCACAGACTCTTCAAATAAATGACATAAAGCGGCCTCAAGAGCCGGATGTTTGGCGGTTCTACGTTGAGCGCAGCGAGGCCTCGATGCTGCCTTCAGGTTGAGTTCAGCATTAGTTCAACAGCCGCACGGCGTTTTGACGATGTGCCTTGCGAGCATGGCCTGGCGTTTCAGGGCCAAGATTTGCAGAAAAGCTGCACGAGCCGGTCGGCTGCACACATCAAGCAGAAGTTAACATCGACATGTTCGGTGAAGCAATCAAAGGCTCGCAGTGCGCACGAAAGCAAGCAGCCCCAACAACTTGGATGCGAACAGCGGGTGAGCGCTCTCAGCTCTGACCACAGTCACTTGCATGGCTTCACCACCTGACATGAAAAGCGCAGCTGTCTGAGAACCCGTTGACAGCCTCGCCAGCCGCTATCGTACATGCAAGATTGGGCACGGTAGCGCGCACATGCTCGGGCCCGAACCGGAATCTAGGCGTCCATGCCTGTGACATGGGCCATTCGACGGCACTTAGGATTAGCAAAACGACAGCGACGAAACTAAGCTCCCATCGTACAGAATGAGCCATCAGCACCCAATGCGATGCAGCCTTGCATCTTTCGTGCTTCGCAGATCTTTATGTCGGGAAGAGTCCACGCCTATGCCTAGCGCTTGCAGCCCACGGCCTTGCCAGCAACTCGTCAGCATTTAGGCGACGGCTTTCAGGCGACGAGCTGCTAAGACACCCACGGCATGACAGCAGCAGCTCTGACACCTCGGTGTGCAGTGGCAGCTTCCCTTACATGTAAGATTGTGAACCCATGCCTCGGTGCCGGACATTGTCGGGACATGGTGCCGCAACGACGACAGAGGTGAACCTGCTCCTGCCGACTAAAAACAATCGATTGTATACCCTTTCAACGTCACTCGCCTGGCAATCACCCCCGCAATGATCAAGCCCAGAACGGTTGACCTCGAACTCGTCGGCATTGCCATGGTTGCAGGAACGCACTGCAGCACTGGTCACTGGCCCCTTTTTTTCCAGCCGACCAGCCTTCTGCCCCAAGACGCCCCAAGGCCCCCTTCAAACCGACGGTCTGAAGCCCCACGACAATGCAGAAGCGTGTTCTTCACAGATCTGGATCTTCGCATTGCCCTTCGCCAAGACGCCTCAGATCATGTAGCTGCTGAGCTCAGACTCAGTCTGATTTACCCGGGACAATTGCGCAGCTGACTTGGCAGATGAGGCTGCGTGGCTTGCCATCGAGGGTCACTGTCAGCTTCTGCAGCGCATGGAATCCACGAGTGCCGCTGGGAAAAGTTCTTGGCGACAGCTGTATGGCATTGTCTTCAATTGTAACGTTCAACGGGGTTGTGATGTTGAACTGTTGCAATTCTTCCGGGTTCTCCGGCATCTGCTCGATATCAGGTCGAGAGTCCGGCTCAGACGCCTGGCCCATCTTTGCAGCAGCTTTGCCCATCTTCCTTTCACGTCGTTCGAGCATGTAGCGCCAATCCACGTTCTCGGCGTTCTTTCGCTTCTTGCTAATGCTCTTCGCATTCTTGGACGATGGCTTGTTCTCTTGGTCCATGATCCGTTGCACCTCTGCTTGCACCAAGTCGAGAATCTCTGACTTCCTGTCTTGAAGCTCTGCGGATGAGATGCCGAGTTGCTCCTCGAGGGCCCCCCACATGTCCTTCATGCAGAAGCTGTGGAGGTCTCTGCCTTCCAAGATGGCCGAGATGCCCATCATCAGAGCGGCATAGTTGAAGTCACTGCCGGGAGATTGTTGGTCTCCCTCTGCTGCATTGGGTGCAGCGACTGAAGCGTCCGCCATGTGAGCTTGTTGCTCTTGATCTTGATATCCCTGAGCCTCTGCAAGCTTGCCGAGCCACAAAATGTAGCTGCGCTGAGCCGTGCAAGAATAAACCGATAATTTTACCCCTCAACTCGGACCGCCTGTGCAAACCGCGTGCTCGTGCTGGGAAGCAAGCTTTCCACGGCCGCGCCTACCAGATATAACCTTAGACGAGGCGATGGTGCACGTTCCACAACGCTCGACAAGTCTTAGCTCCGGACCACTTGCGGATGTTCCTGCTCATCACTCAATGCCTTGTCACGTCACAAGGCTACACCTGGAAAATCTGCAGCGGAGGCAAATCCTTCACGCCGTCCTTGATGGATTTTCTCAAGGCATGGCACTGATCGGCAGTGCAAGCCAAAGCTTGTAAAGCCTCGACGTACTGGCAAGTCAGCACGTCACGGCGCGCAAAGTAAGCACACATGAGCACACATGGCTTCTTTGAGGATTCTCCGAGAACATCGCCTGAAGCTCTGGCATGTCATCCACTCCTCTTTGAGAAGCTTGAAAATGTCGGCTGCAGCTTGCTTAGTGACGATCCTGGGACCAGGTCCGAGAGTAAGCTCCTCTTCTCCAGGTCCTCGGGAAACTTCTTGCACATGCCCCATACTACATGCTAAGCTGGACCCGGAAAACAACCTCCGCGACGGCGACGCTGCTGGTGGGTTCGCTTTTGGAGGTGGATCCGGACCTCACTCTGCCAGCTGCATACCAGGTTGATCCAGCTTCTTGCTCGGGGCCAGGCCGCAGAACATTCAGGTGGGAATCGACATGCCAACAGCCTGCCTCTCTCCAGATTCCATTCACTCTGTCAGCTGTCAGAGGCTGTCAGTATAGTGCGGACGCCTCCCCGTGTAGCGCTGCCATCAACCGCGGACAAAAGCCATGCCTTCGGCAGGCACCCACCAAAATACAGTTGAAAAATGTAAATAAACAGTAAAGTGGAAGATAAGCACACGGTCACGATCCCAGGCCTAGATACAGAACTTGCTTCTGGCATGACCTCGATGCTTGAGTAGAAAGCACGCCCGCTCCGACGCCAAGATTGCGAGACTCCGCACGCAGTAATTCGCACTTCAGTCTTGGCCAGCCACAAAGCAAACAATGCCCCCTCCGCACCTGGACCACTGATGTGTAATCATTCTCGCGAAAAGATGCATCAAAGTAAGGTGCCAGCACAGCTTCGATGGCTGCCCACAGCGTTTCTGGCATGATCTCCTTCCCAGCTGAAGGATTACGCGCAACTCCTACAGCACACTGCAATTCATACTTGACTTGCTGGTACAGCGTGTCTTGCCTCCAAATCAAAAAGTATGGCCGCATGGAAGCTTCGTCCCAAGAAGCTGGACTTTTGTACCTACATGTCGTGCACTGTGAAATTTATTCGGAACACGAACCAAATTACGAGTAAAAAGATTGCGCGCCTGTCCGAAAGCCCATGTCGTCAAACTAACTTCTGGCAGTGCAAGATCACCTGCTGTGTCTCCAAAAGGTGTAGTCACCCAGCACACACCTCGCAATCCTGCAGGCTTGAGCCTGCAGCCGCATGTCGGCCTTGGCATCCAGTCTGTCCCCACAACTTCCGTGCAAACCCCTCCCGGTGCAGCATTTTTTGAAAGCTGAGGCCCCTGGCTGCACAAAAGGAGCCGACTAGCATCACAAAGGCCGGCAACTCGAGCGACTAGAGCCCTGCAGCGAGAAGGTTCACCAAGTGCGTCGTTGCCTTGCATGTGTGCTGCTGGCCTCCGAGCTGGCAGCTCTCTGTCGCAGTGGCTCACCTCCATCTGCAAAAGCATGCAAAAGCACGCCGTTGATAATCGTTGAAATTTCCTTGTGAAACCTCAGCTGAGCCCCTCACAGCGATGCACAAACGGTGCCGCTTGCGAGCTTCAGCCTGTCCAGGAATGGCCCGGCGGAGACCAGCAGGGAACACTCGCCAAAATCAACAGCACTGCCTCCTTACCCCGAAACTCCTGGACTGAACCCGGAAAATGCTTCTCGATTCAGCCTGCGCCTCTAAGCCTGTAAGGTCCTCTTCATCCTCGGGTTTGCCTTAGCATCTACGCCTCTGAACCTTTGCGGCTAACCCTCTCCTCCAACACAAATCATTCTCCATGGTGGTTTAAGCCCAATCTGCTAATAAGTGCTCTCATCTGCCAAGTAAGTCCCGAACGCTTGCAAATTTCAATGTGCTCAGGTGCATGTATAGCTTGCAAACCGCATAAACCTGTCAGCCTCCCGGCAAGCTTGGAACCTCTCAAACCTTCACTTCTGAGCGTTTAGGAATTTGCCGTGATCACCTGACTGCAAACGCAACAAGCACTGCTTTCCAGAACAATCCACGTGTGTCAATTGGCGGGCTGAGTTTCTGATCAGAAATCCCAGAACATTTGATACATTTTTTTTCTTTTTTCGAACCATTTTTCCACCGTCAAGCGCGGTCTTGCCAATGAGGCTCACGAGTTTGATGTTCTTGCACCAGACTCCGTGCTTCTTCAGGAAACAACCCAAACTTCCCACAAGCTTTCACGCCCCTCGAATCATGTTAAGGACGTTAGTGCTAAGCCCTCACGGACACAGGCACATCAGTAACACACAAAAAACGGAAAAACTATGCGTTTGTGTTCACGAGTTTTCCGCCTGCATGACGCATCGCTCGCCCCGCTGCCTCGGCGAAGTCGAGCACTTCATCTCGCGCCAGGCGCCCACCACCGTCTCGTCCAGGCGGGGGCGGCTGCTACGCGCTGCACCAGGCACGTTGGGCTCGGACGCGCGCCAAGTCTCTAGCGAGCCGCTGCGCTGCTTCGTTCGCCCCGCAAATCTCGGAGCCGAGTGCGAGGAGCGAACTGAGCTTTGCGGCAGGCCGTTTGCTTGCGCTGCTCGGCAACAACCCGCAGCATGGTGCCGTTATGTGCGGGCGTGCAGCGTAGCGGCGTGCCCGCTCGGGTCAGCGGCGATACACGGGTCGCATCGCAGTATCTCCACATAGGTGCTGCTGTAGATGGCCGAGTCAAGGCGGCGTCGGCGTTTGTCGTCCGGCGCAGAGTCCCGTCCAAGGGTGTCAAGCCGTTATCCCCAGCCTGACTGAGGCCGCAAACTGGAACGAGGCCGGCAAGCGGCATGGTGGTGACCCTACAGGAATCGACGGCGGCACCGCAGCCGTGTGCGCGCTACATCTCTGGGGAGCGATTTGCGAAAGCAGCCGCAGCCGCCGCGGTCAGAACTGCGCCGGCGTCGCCAGGTACACATTTGTTGCAAACACAAACCAAACGGCCGCACCAGAGACACTGCAGCGCGCGGTGTTGACTGCGAACGCAGCACGGCCAAGGGGTTGACAGCGGTCTCGCGGAAATAGGTATAGTGAAGCAAACGCGGGAACCGTGGTGCTGCCAACCCAGGCCGCACGCGCCAGGTTCAGACAGGTCGCATTGCGCAGGGCGTGTGGCCTGCCCATCTGGTGCTGTCAGCGGCCGCCTCCTCAGCAAGTGCACACAACCGGCGACCGAAGCTGGACCCATCGAGGCGCCGGGTGCGCAGAACATGAAGCGTGTGTCCAGTACACTCCGGGAACGGCACTGCTAACCTAGGCCTTCCGAGTGCGCAAGCAGAAAAGCAGTCGGCGTGCTGCAGCGACCTGAGGGTCTGCATGGGCAGGCTTAGCCACACGGCTTTCGTTTCGAACCTTTTTACAGTCATTACCGTCTACACCGTCTCACGCAGCCAGCATTTGCTACCACGCAGCAAAACGCAACCATCAACGCTGCCCGCATACAACATGTCGTGGCCACGCGCATAGCTGGCGGAAAAGTGAAGTGGCAGGATACGCAATAGGTGATCGTCTCGCGGCGCGGCACACGCGGCAAAGATGAGCCACGCGCGTTGAAGGTCAGGCAGCAGCGACGACGAGCGGATGGGGGTACCCGTGGCGACGAATCCGCAAACTCGGCTTCAGGGGGAGCGGGGAGCAGGCCCTCCAGCACGGTTGCCTGGCCGCTGTTAGTCCTTGCCGATGCGAGCTCCAACTAGATTGGTGGAGGTTGTAAAAACGCGGACACTCTTGGCAGGTGCAAAAATTGTGCAGTGAAAAAAAAGAAAAACAAGAAACACACCTACTCCGAACTCTGCAATTCCGGATCCTGCCGCCTCGTCGTGCAACTGGCGGCAAAAGGTGCGCCGAAGTTGTTACTTTCCTCCGACTCCTTGCCCCTTGCCGAGCCCGTTCTGCCCCCACCACTGCATTTTTTGTTTCCGCATTTTTCCGCCGGCCGGAAGTATCTGGTCCCTTCGTCACCCAGGACCTACTGGGCCGAGGCGCAGGGCTTGCCGCGGACCTTCGCTAGGACCGCAAGGGCAAGCGGCTCTGGCCCTCAGAGGCGGCAAGCTGGAGGACTCCGTCGAGCGGCGGGCCTTCGCCGGCTGCAGCGGTTGCAGCTAGGCGCCGCCGAAGGCAGTACTGGCGACTGCCTGCTGCACCGCAACCGAGAGCAGGCTCCACCAACGCCTGGCCCATGGTGGCGGCCGCGCGTACGGCTGGGGGAGCGCGGTACGCCTTCAGACACACCAGATCTCGCACAAAGCTGCGGGCCTGGGCATTCCAGCGGCCGCCCACCTCGGAGCCTAGCACGACGAGCGTCTGCGGCCCGCCGCGCGTACGTTCCGGGTACGCGGCGTGCTCGCGCCGCCGGCCACTCGCAGTACGGCCCCGTCCACGGCCGCTGCGCTTGGCTGTGGGTGCCGTACAGGACGAGGTCGAGCCTGCGGCGGTCCTGCGCTCCGACATGCGGGGCGGTGGTGTGAGCCAACCATTGTTGTGGGACGACTTGCCCTTCCGATCCCATCGCTTCACGTGCAACCCGCACCCACGCCCGTTCCGATCCTGGCCCGCCTGGCGAGGAGGCCTGTGCGTGGGCACGCGAGAGCGTGATCGCCGAAGCCGTCAACGCCTCAAAGCGATCTGCATGGCGGGCGGTGGGAGCGTGGTCGCCGGCTCAGTCGTGATCGCAGCGAGCCCGCTTGCGGTCCGGACTGGGAGCGCAGGAACGCATGGGAACTGAGAGGCATGTCGGGCAGGAGCGTGCGCTCGCGGAGGTGAGTGTTGAGTGTTCGCGTCGCGCCCTTCTGCCATCCATGCGGCCAGTCTCCGGGCCCTGCGTCGTCAGCCGGGGGTGCACGTGCCCCTTCCAAGAGGGCGAGCCATGTGGGCCTCAACTGCCTCGCGAAAGCAAGCGGGGTCTCGGCGCGCCCCGCCCTCCAAAGCCTGTTGACACTGTCTCGCGAAATCGAATGCGCGGGCATGCATGACAGGCAGCGCGTCTGCCCAGTAGGCCGTCCAGGGCCGCCCGTGCGCTCTGGGACTGTAATGACATAGAGGTCATCGAGGAAGGCCAGCAAGGCGTCATCGCGGTGCAGCTTGGACGCGGCGTGACAAAGCGCATCGTGTTGGCCGAGCGCGAACAACGCTGGGGCAAGGGCATCGCCGTGTTCGCACCCCTCGCCTTGTGGCATGCCCCCGTGGCGTCCCACCAGCAGTAGCTGGAGGGCTGGCCGTAAAAAAACCTTACGAAGGTTCCTCTCCTCAGTGACGTTTTAAAGTTTTTGCCCACCCATCGGCCCATATCGGCCCCAGCTCCTCTCGCCAACCGCATGCCTCGTCATGCGTTTCTGCACTTCCGTAGCCTGGCCGTGGATTTGGCCGACAAGCACAAGGATCGCGTGAACAGCAAAAACGTCTCGGGTCTACAAAAAAAACTGGCAAATGCTGAGCGGTACACAGCTCTTGCACCGTGCAGCCTGCCGCCTTGCACGTGCTGACCTCTCGCCTCCCGTGTTACCTGCTTTGCGCGTTGGCCGGATCGCACTGCAGAAACCCAACGGACGAGGCGTCCGCGCCCTATAGTTGTTGGTGACGTCCTTCGGCGCCTTGTCGGCCGCACATTGGCCCAATTCATCGCCCCACGCTTCAGGGATGGCACCGCAGCCCTTGCCCGCGCCTCGCGTGCCGCTACGGAGCGCGACAACCTCGATGCGCCGTGCATTGCCTACCGGCACATCGACGCTCATGTCTGCGACCGGATGTTGCAGCCGACCCCGGCGCCAGCCTCCCAGCACAGCAGTGTGCTCGAGGGGCAAGGGCGGGTCACCAGGACCCGAGAGGTGGCACACGCGGAGCGGTGGTCACCGAGCGGGTCTAGCTGCCCCCAACACCTGCTTCTGCACGGCGCTAAAGGCTGTGGGAGCTTCAAGTGGCGCAGCAGAAGGACGTGAAACAACGCATAGGAATGGTGACATCGTGCCGCATAAGCGAAGGGCCCAGCCTGGGTAAGGAGCAACGCACGAGAGGGCATTTGGGGGACGGGGACGGAGGCGCAGCAGGCAAACCAATCCGGAGCAGCGAAGCAGTCACACAGGTGCTCGCGTGCGTGGACCGCAGCGGTAGTACAAGGCAAGATTCCTTCACCGCGCAGCGCCCTCGTGAGAGGAGTGACGGTCAGAGCCGGCGCAGTGCAGACCTTGGGGAAGGTAGGCTGCCCGGACGTTGGGAGGGGTGAGGGGAGTTTCAAGCACAAATAAGCTGGCGAGGCATTGGGGGTTGGCCGCATATGGCCGAATCATGGTCTGCGACTGGAGCAGTGGCCACGCAGCTTGCAGATCATCGATGTGGGGGATGCGCTGCAAAAGATGGTCTTGCTCGGCAAGTTTGATCTGGAGATGGAGCGCGAAGCCGGCATCGTGGCCGGGAGCGGAGCCTCGCACGGTGAGGCGCTGACGGTCAGGCGGGAGGTTATTGATGATGACCTCGATGCGGCGGTCATTCTATGGGGAAGGGGCGACACAGAGGTCCCGCACTATGACAGTGGTTGCGACACTAGCGCCGGTTTCACCGCACACACGTGCTGCAGCACGCTCCAGTAAGGCACCTAGCGCGCAAAACTCCAGAGCAAGGCATGGCATGGCATGGCGACGTTTGCGGCGACGGTACGCCGCAGTGAGGTGCTGGGGAATGTTCGGGAAAGTTCGGGAGAGACACGCCTGGCCGTGAAGATTCGTGCTGCGAAAAGGCCTGCCTGCGCGTCCAAGCCGATGCTGCCCTCATGATCGAGCTCCCGGAGGATGCAGCGGAAGCAAAACCCATCGACGGCCCTGAATCCGGGACGCTGCCAACCACATGTGTTGTCGAGTTGGGGCTCATCGTCCGTATCGCACGGAGCCGACGTATAAGTCAACAGCTTCAACCAGGACACAGGGGCAAAGGCACGAGCGAGGGGGAGCGACTGCAGAACGAAGTGTGTCGACAAGTGCGTGCGCATCCCATGAAGACCAACAGGCGGCTGGGGCATGGTGCGCCGTAGTGCGGAGTTTTAAGCACAAGGCAAACTGGAACCGGAAAACGGCACTAGCCCAGTGTGCGCCAGGGCAGGTGAGCGCTGCATCAGTGCATGCCCTTGTGGTTGAAAGATGCTTCATGCGGGAAGGACCTGAGCGCAATTTGCGCTCGCACGACCGGAGCAGCCCGCCGATCTGAGTGTCGTGCATGGCCGCGAAAGCATGCAGGAGACAAGCTTGGCGAGCGAGCGACCGTTGCAAGTGCGACCCGATGAAGGCCGGACTGCCGATTGGGACGCCCGAGGAAACGAGGCCGCGGTTCGAGGCTTAAGGCCAGGTTCCCGACCCACACCTGCGACTCGGGCACGAGCTGCAAGACTGCAGCGGCAGGACTCCGGCCACATTCCAAACGCGTGTTTTGGCATTCAGACACAGTCGGGCCGTTTGCCACAGCTCCTCGAGACGGCGGTAGAGCAGCGCAACCCGGTCGGGTGAAGCAAGGATGTACACATCAACAAGGTATGCAAGCGCTTGCTCGGTGGGCCCGTGGAGCGTAAGCGACCAAGAAGAGTGCCGGCGTCAGAGGGTGCCCTTGTTCCCCACCCTCAGACTGGGTGATGCGGTGCCATTGATCTCCGCCGCACCAAAAAGTACACAAACTCCCGCATGCACCAGCGCGCAGGGGGCCACAAGGGGGACAAGGCCGGAGAATCCCGCACTGCAAGGAGCATCGACTCGCAGCTTACAGAGTCATACACGGGCGTAACATCCACAGAAACATTCGTAAATTGTGAACTTGTTGTTAGTCAGCTTGCTTGCGGACTTGCAAAGTATGATTTTTGCGGTGTGGTCCATCTTTTCCTTTCCACTGTTTCTTCGTGAAGACACGTCTGTCGCGACCGTCCACGTCACGGTCCCCGTGTGTGTCCCCAAAACCACAGCAATAGACTACGCCATGCGGCTGGCCGGGGCTGCTTGTGTCAACCAGGACGTTGCAAACGAGTGGTTCTGTTCCATCAACGTTGGCCGTGCCCGGACAGGGGAAAGGAACAACGGCTAGTTGCAGGGGACCGTGTGGCTGCGACGACTAGTAGCGCCAGCGCGAAGCACACTCGTGCAAATGCAGGCCGGTTTCGACGCAGGACAGCGACACACAGAGCTGCCCCAGCTGTGCGGCCCCAGTCTTGGATGCCAGCTGTGTGGAAGGGCGAGCTTCGTGTCAACGGCAAGCTGCACGCCGCCCCATAGTGGCAGCATCTTTTCTCATCGCACCTATTCAGTGTCTGCAAAATGGGAAGTCCAGGTGCCCGTGGTGCAAACTGCGCACCGCGAGCCAAGGAGCCTCTGCGGACACGACTACGCTGAGACCACGCACCGGGACATGCGTCGCGACACTGCCGCGCCCCAACGCGAGCACAACGCGCCAGGTCATGGGCAAGATGTACCACGTGGTTGGTGACTGCATTAAGCTGCGGTGAGCGAGTTCTGGATGAGCTCACACGAGGGGGGTGGTGCCTTGAACCCCTGAGTCGAGGCGAGCGGCGGGAGGGGCATCGAGCTCTCGCAAAAGGCTCGCTGACAGAAACCGTCTGGGTCCTCGTGGATAAACGGCTTCCCCCCTCAAGCTGGACAAAGAGTCGCGGGCAAGTTGTAACCATAGCAGATGGTAGCAGTGCCTCCGTCAGCTCGCTTGCTGTTGCTCAGTCCTATAGAGATGTGGGTGGAGGCGATCTCGTTTGGCAGGGAGTGCCGGCTACGGGCGGCCGTGGTGTCGTGCCAAATGCACACGAGCGGCTACTTGCCCCGGGTAAGCCCCCTGCCACGGAACCAGTCAAGAGCGGTTGGAAAGGCGCTGAGCCTGTAGAGCGCGACACCCAGTCCCGAATGCAGCATGCATGGTTTGGGCAGGGGGTTATTGGGCAGGCAGGCAACTCGGTGTCGTGACAGTGGGTGGAGCAAGCCCGTGAACTTTGATGCTGCAGCTTCGGAACGCCACGTACCGACATGGGAAGGCAAAGTGTCTGGGATTGAGTCGACAGCTAGGAGCCCGGTGGCGATGCCTTCGAGCGGCGGGCATCGCTGCGCTTGCAGTGGATGTCACTGTCGCGCAACTGATCGTTGGCCACATCAAGCTGGCGAACACGCGAAGCATACCACAGGCGCGTGCTCAGCCGCACTGCGAAAACCAAGCCCACGAGGTGCAAACACATGTGCACACACGCGGCTGCAGATTGAGGCAGGGGTCGGCGTCGCTGGGAACAAGGTGGACCGGCGCAGCACAAAACGTACACGGCAGTGAGTGCAACCGAAGGCAACAGTTCACGGGAGGACACGTGCTGTAACAGCAATAACCGCGAGGATTGCCAGGTCATGGAAACCAGGGAGCAATTGGATGAGAGCACGGTGCTGCACAGAAAGGCATCGGCATCAGAGCTGCGTAGCTCCGTTTCCACGGGGTTTCCTCGAAAGCCTGGGACGGCAGCAACCCAATACATCTGTTGGGAGGAGGTAGAAGATCGGGCGCGGAAACACGACCGGAATGCCACACACGGGTTTTGCCGGCATGGGGCCGGATGCGCAATGAAAAGAACACATGGTGCTCGAAGCGGAACAACACGCTGTGTGGGCGGGTGAGCTGGTAACATAGATAGATGTCGTCAAGCAAGGCCCGCACGCGCTTGCCGGGGAGAAGCTCTTCTTGAAAGGGACAGGGCAGGCATAAGTGGATCGCCTGCTCGCCACTCCCGGCCTGTGATGCAGCCCACGTGATCCCGAGCTGTTGCATCAGAGGCCCTAGCGGTTTTGCATTTTCGCCGCGCACTCGTCGCCAGCTCCGCACTATATCCGAATGTGAAACATCTGTGGCGCAACAACAGAAGCCCACCCTGGCCGCTCGAAGTGCTGTGTTCTGATCTGTCTGCGGCGGCTTTTTTTTTAAACCTCCCTGAATGGGGGCTGAGCGACCGATCCTTCACGTGGCAACGCAAAAACGTTCACGGGGCGACGTCTCCGCAGACGCGGGTTGTGGCCGCGGGGTGCAACACAGAGAGCGGACGAGGTGGGCGGCGACCGGGTCGACGCATCCGAGTTCAGAGGGTGCATGACGGTTTTGTATACACGACTCCTGAGCGTTCACGAGTCGACGACCCAGCTTCACCGGCGACGCTTGTGTGAACGAGGGCCGACGCTTCCTTCCGCACACAAAGGCCGACCAAACGTCGCGAGGTTGCGGTCATTGACGGCTGTGCCGACCGAGCATTTACGGCTGCAGCTGCAACAAATACGCGCTTTTTCTTTCAAGCGCACCCGGTTCCCAGCTTGACGTTGCAGTTTCTCATGCACTCGTAGTCTCAGTGCTGAGCGGCCGGAAGCCAGGGTGTCACACTATGTACAACAGGGCAGTCTCATTGGGCCAGCAGTAACCGCACGGGACGGGAGGGAGTCTGCGAGGACATCGCACATGAGACAAAAGTGTTTCGAGAGCGGAACGCTCTGCACAGGCGAGGAGCTACGCATTGCCTCCAGAGCCTCAAACCTGGCTACACTGGTAAAACCGCGACGCCGAAGCGTCTTCCGATCCCAGAAAGGCTGATTGGAAAGCATATCTTCGTGTGCTGCACAGAACCGTCGATGACCTGTGCTCGCAAAACATGGAAATTTACATTTCAATCTACCCCTTTTGTGCCGCAGAACCGATGTCGCAGCAATGATCGGCGAACTGCTGGATTACATGGATGAAGGACTGTAGTTTTTGTCTTGTCCGAGCATACATCCCTGTGCACGTGCCAATCCGTCCGTCGAAAAGGGCAAGCGAGCGACACCATGATGTTACAGAGAGTACTAACAAGAAGACAAGCGAACACGACGCGCATTGGAGATGACGCGCTGGGCAGGAAACCTATCACAAAATGAGAACTGTCGGTTCGGATGAAATGCTGTCAATATTGTAATTCGGGTAACGGCTGCGAATAGTCCGTGCATACCCTACACATTGTCGGACGGCGACATGACCACTGGCAGAGTGGTCATGGGCAAAGCCTTCTGGTCCTGACTCTGCTTCTCTTGAAATGTGCAGTTTGCGACAGCCGCACGCGTGACCCGAGTCTCAAAAGCACCGTGTTGGGTTGCAGTGCCAGCATGGCACCTGCCGAGCTGCTGCCAATTCGCTTGCCGGCCTGAGCCGCCAATCATCTGCGGATGCACATGAGAAGACAAGGCATGCCATCAAAACCTGAGTTCTCCGCATCCTGTCGACGGCATAGCTGCAACAAGAGCAATGCCTCCTGGCTACACCACACCTGTCTTTTCCAGCGCCGCCATGACATGAAGGCCCTCTGCCTGGGCATGTAAGGCCTTGATTGATACTCGAACTACGCGAAGCCGTACAGTGGCCGTTCTAGTCAAAGGCAAATTCTCTTGCTTGCTATAATGTGAATTCACATGATGCGGGGATTGCAGTGCTCAGCTGCGTGGGAACATACTTGAGCAGAAATCTCGACTCTCGCACGGAAGAATCAGGTCTGCTGCAATTTGCTTTGTCTGCAGGTGAGGCACGTCAGAATCCTCGGTCAACTCCGTTTGGTTCGCATAACACTCATGCGTACCACACAACAATCACAGCACCCTCCTCTACAGTTTAACCGAAGTTCATCTCTCCATTGAAGTCCGAGCGGATCTTTTGCAGATTTGGTGCATGTCTAGCAGCACCATGAGCCAAATGGACGAGGTGGATCGGAATCGTGAATTATGTTCTGATGGGCGATTGCTCTGCATGGCCATGTCGTGGTTGACATGACTTGGTGCAAGGTGCGAAGGAACCTTTCTGTGGACGACTGTGTGAGGACATCGTTGTAAGCGTCCAACCCCGAGCCGCTTCATGGTACAACTTCATCCGTAGCTTCGCCGTGCAGGTCCCTACTATCTAGATCAGAGATGCAGATTCTGCCTAATCGAAGACGTCAGTCTCCACAGCCCAAGGCAGGAAGAACACGGATTACTAAGGGAGAGCTCGGGCTGAGAGGATTGAGGAGTGGGAGCTAGCGACGAAGGTGCATCCTGTGTCGTCCTTTCCCACGGCCAACCGTGAAGAGTGCGATGCAGTGTGGCACGGCGCGCAATCCTGAACAATCAGTCAGGACAACTAGCAACAGAGTGGGAATAGCAAACACTGCAAGTACATCGGACCTTCTACTCGTCCGGCTCCAAAGCTGTGGAATGCGGATTCGGCTACACAACGGCGATTCTGCGCGATGCTACACGCAGCCCCCTATGCTTGCGTTTCACCCCATCTCTCAGATCCGAGACCCGAAGACGAAGTGTCTCGAACTTGTTGCATTTTGGCGGAAAGGCTGGGAAGGCTCGAAAGCAATTCCTTGCTCAGCTTTGGAGCACTGCCCGCGTTTTTTGCTAAGGCTAGCCGGCGGCCACTGGCTTTGAGCAGCTCACTTCTGAGAATTCTCTTTCGCTAGCGAGAGGCACGCTTGGGACCTGGGAAGTTCCGCTGCTACCGCTGGTGCTCGCGACCTTGCAGATTACTGCAGATTCTTGCAGTCCAGAAATTGCAGATCAAAGCCCACAAGCGTGTCTGACTGATGTCGCTCTTCAAGGGCCAAACTTTCGCACTGAAGCCGCTTGACCCGGGAAACCTGGCTTCTGCATCCGTGCAGGCTGAATTCAAAGACTACAAGTGGAGGAAGCACTGGCCGTGTGGAATAAGGGCTGAGCCATCGCTCCATTACAAGTAGCCGTGCCTGATTGTAACAAAATCTGAGACTCGCACGCCAAGTATCTGGTGATCCCCACATTCAGATCCAGGTCCAGGTCCACTCCTCCAGACACACACACGCACACGCACGCACAGACCGTCGCAGCCGCCGTCGCAGAAAAGCTCTGAGATCGTCGAGTTGCACAGCTCTTGACACAACGCATCACAAAGCGTGAAATGCATGAGCCTGCACAGTCGTCACACACGGAGTGCCTTGGGAAGGCCCAAGGTCGATGGAAACAGCACTCCCGGGGATGAGTTAGAATCAGGCCTGCTGGATCCCTCACCATCGCCTTCCGGCGGCTGCAGATCACCAACCTTCGCGCACATCGGTGCCGTGACATGGCTGCCATGATGGAGTTCGCAAAATTTGCAAAGGCTGGGAAAGTGGCCACATGTCTGCATCTGTCGTCGCGGAACTTGGGCCCTGAACAAAACGGACAGGTTGCATAAAGTCGCAGACACAGCCTTTCTTCCACACAGCAAGCATTGCAAACACGGCCACAGAGAGAGACAGAGACACAGACGAGAGGCCTCGGCATGGACTGAGTCCCTCAGCTGGCCTGTCGGAGGCTGCGAGGCCCAACCACCCCAAGTCCCAATTCCTGTCAGCCAGCCTCGGCCCATCAGAGCCCCAGACTTCCTGAACATGGCCGTGTCATGCTTTGTGTAAACAAAATCACATGTATTTTGGAAGGGGTGTTTCGCGCTCCTGAGCCTCATCGCCCATCGAAGCAAGGAGAGGCCGATCGTGCTTGGTCATCTGTGCATCCATTGCGCCGTACTCCATGATTTACGTTTGCTCCACCCGCAAAAGCTGCATCTGCACAAGCAGGCCTCCACTACTCCATGATAAAGAGGACAAAGGCGCTTGTCGAATGCCTGATTGTAGTGCTGCCATCTGCTGCGCCATGACGAGATCCCCGACCCGTCTGGCAACGGCCAACTCGCATCGCTTTTTTTTGGTTCGAGCGCGAAGCAGCGAGCAGCGGCGCAAGAAGCAGCTGAACTCCTGGCGAAGGATGCACATCACAGTGCGCATCAACGCGCACAGAGCGGCCAAGAGGCTTGCCTTCTCGAAGGCCTCTTCCTCGAGGAGAGAGCCCGTTGTGATCTCCCGCAGTCTTGGAAAGCCTGCGTCCGAAGCTGTGCGGATCCCCGGCGGCCCTGCGTCGCGTGCTCCGCCGCGGCTCCGCCTGAATCCCCCAAGCCCTTCAGCAGGTAGACAATTGCAGCGGCGTCGAACAAGTCCTGCAACAACGCTCCTAGGAACCGGCCCGGCATTGAAAGGCTATCTGCAAAGGTGCCTGGTTTCCCGACAGCACCAACTTGGTGAGAAAGCAGCACTTCCTGAAAGCATTGCGGCTGTGGTCAGCCGCGGGCCCGAGAAAGTGATGTCCTGAGCAGCACTCCCAGAGCTTCCGCCGAGGAAGTCCCGAGGCGGCAGTTCGTCAGGTTCAGCTCTTCGAGGTGCAGATAGCCGCAGCTTCCTATGTGAGGAGTTCAGGCCAACAGCCTTGAGATCCAATCAAGCCAGGACTCCTTCGACTTCCCAAATCTCGGCGACGACACGGAGACCGGCAGCCGTGCAAAGCTGCCAGCTACCGGCAAGGCTCAGAGAAGCCAACTCCGGACATTGACGGAGAAACCGGCCTCGCGCAGCACTGACTTGAACTGCCCATAGCTGCACGAAGCCGGTCTGGAATTATCGCCAATGTGCCGAGATGGGGAGCCGCGTGTTCGGTAACTCCACAGCCTCCAAAGTGCAGCGACCTCGAGTCATACACGCCATCACCAGGAACTGTTAACTATTCCTCTGAAAATTCTCCCGGCCTGAGTGGAAGGCGAAGTTCTCCGAGCCCTTTCATCAAGCCTTCCAAGCCCGCAGCTGTGCAGATCTGAGCGTGTCCTCGTCAGCTGAACTTAACACGCAACTTCAGCAGAGCCCACAACGACACAGTTATTCCAGCAATTCAGCCCCGCTTTGGACGAGGCTGCCACGGGCCAGGAAATCTGTGCACATCCGTCCACAAAAATCACAACCGGGTCGCCCAGCAGGCAAAGCTCTTGGAGCTGCGGGCAGTGCCGAAGAAAGATTCCAAGTGCTCGCCCCTGCAGGGGTGCGAGCATCTGGCCACCTGAAGCAGGCAGCACTTCTTATGTTCAACGCCCTCAAACTGCAGCACTCAGCACCCCAAGCCTGTGAGCAAGTGCTCGTGGCTCAGGTCCAACGCTTGGATCCTGAGCTATGATACACGCACTTGAAGTGGTAAAGTCGGATTTGCTTGTAGGCCCAGCCCGCTTGCAAAACACGCTTTCGGAACTGTTGTACTTGTCTTTGCTGTACCAGGCTCTCGGGAAGTCGAACACGCGGAGCTTGCCGTGGTCTTGCGCCCAGGATCTCCACTGCAAACCGAAGCTCCTCGTGCAGCCAATGAAGGGCATCATGTGGTCCGCCTTTTTTCTGTCATCTCTCGTCCTCTGCTGAAAGTTTCAGGGCTGCGGCTCCGAGAAGGTCGCCTATCCCCCGCAGCCGCCGGGCCATTTTAACAGCCGTTGACCGCAGGCGCGGCCGTCGGTGAACCTGCCAAGTCGAAAAAGCGCCGGGGGGAGGGGGTCCTGAGCTATCACGACTACTCGAGTGGGAACGTCGACTGTCTTGTTGGGAGAATCGCGACTACCAAGTCAGACTAGAGTGACTTGGACTTGGGCATGCCCGTACCTCGGACAAGGGCCCGTTTGAGGTTCCGTCTCCCCATCTGCATGCAATCTGCATTGCTCGCCAATCCAGGGGTCCTGCATGTGTTGCACATGCGCACCACGGTGACACACGAGAGGGTGTGCATGCACAGAGCCACACTGATCGGTCCAGGAAGCAGACACCGTAGACACTCTCTCACCGCCGATTGCCTCGGGGGTTCCCAGTCTCCCACTGCATCACCTTTTTCGGTCCGGGCCCACCCACACTCTACCTGGCCTCATAGCCTGTAGAAAGGCAGGCTTCTTGCCACAGCTTTGATGGTCTTTCCGTCCACAGCGTCCGAGCTCCGCCCAAATGCGCTGGGAGGTAAGACACTCCGGAACTTCCAGCTGCCGTAGCGCCGGACACTGCCGAAGAAAGTCTCTCAGCGCTGCCTGCACAATGTGCAACTTGTTTTGACAGCAGTCTTCACCTAAGCACCATTGTCATGACCATCTTCATCACCATCATCATGATGGTGATGATCACCATCGTCATGATCATCATCAGCCCTGCTGACAGCTAAACCCTAAACCTTCGCAAGTCGTCGTTCTGCAGGGCTCCGACCCATGCATCAAAACGTGCAGAGCTAAGGTATCTCATTGTGGCACTCGGGAAGACTCCTAGACCTCCAATTCTCAACTGAGTAGTGCACCGCTGGCAGTTAAAAACATCGCACATGCAAAGCCCCGATAGCCAATGCTCAATCGAGTCGCATGATGGTCGGGCTGCAGAAGTCTAAGAATCGAAAAACAAACCGCTGTTACCTCAACGTAAGCTGTGGGCACGTGATTAGGTGTGACGCATCCGACCAAGGCAGCAAGAGCTTTCCCAGCATCAGCACGACTTATCCATGCTCCGGTCCAAAAGGTGCGATTGATCGCTTGAACACCATTTCATACAACAGCAGCAAATCGATGGCAGGACATCCCAGCCTCGGCGCCTGAGCCCAGCTGACAGCCGCCCAGCTGCAACGTGCGCAGCGCAGAAAAAGCGCCCGAAGCTCTTCCTGCCTAGCCGAGCTGTCCCACAAGAAATGATATATGGGCCATATATGGGACATTGAGCAAAAGCGGCGGACATTGCAGCAAAGCCTGTGCCAAGTGGCAGTGCCCATGCAACTCATTCCCTGGACCAGGCCACGCAGCCCAAGCGAAGTGTACATTGCCACATTCCAGTCCAGGATCAGCCTGGGCGAGGGCATCGGCCAGAATCGGGTCTTCAGATGTCAAAAGTTTTACCAAACATCAAAGGTCGGCGAAGAAGCCACTTGTCATGAGGTCCCGCTTGGCTTCTTAACGTGGTCTGGGGTCCTGGCTCTTTTAAGTCCGGCATGTGGCTCAGCCAGCAGGCCAGCTTTGCCGCAGCTTTGGCGGCAATGTCGCAATGCTTCAACACCTCATCTAAGGCATGATCTCCACAGTGAGGAACAAACGGCAGTCTCTTTGGGTTCCGACCAGTCTTTGCAGAGCAAAAAACTCCGTGTTCACCGCTGCTCTTACGAGGCCTGCCGGGATGGAAAATGTGGATGCAACATCTTGAAAGGCTGAACGACCGCGAAGGACAAGCCTTCCAGCCCTGCCGGCGTCATCAGCCGAACGTTGAAAGCCAGGTTCAAAGTCTAAGAAGGGCATTTGTCAAGGCATGGCTGCTTTGACGTGCTCTCGGCTGTGATGCTGCAGGTCCTGCAGCGGGCATCGTGTCATGATGTCGACGAGGGCTGAAGAGCTGGCTGGCGAGAGCTCTGCCGCGCAAAGGTTAAGCTGCCTGTCGGAGGAACGTCTCAAGCGATACCTTCTGCTCTCTCGTTCCACGCACGACTACCCCATACTTACCATGCCCATTCCATGGAGCCTGAGCTGGAGCTTTGCACTTCCCAGGCTGCAGAGTACATTGGAGAGGCCATAGTCCTGCAGGAGGCCTGGCGGTGGGTTGGACCAGCGTCAGCTTCAGAATGGAAGGGGGGTGGTGCCAAAATACCGCGTGACTAACAGAGGATGCCAGCATCGACAATGCTCTGTAAGAGTGACAAGCATAGCCCCGGCCCCACCATCGCAGTTGGCCAGGGACAGGTGCTTGAGCTTAGAACTCTGCAGCCAAAGACCCAGGCTTCTACCTGCAGTTTTCAGAATGCAGAGACACGTACCAGATGCAACAAAGCAAGTTCACAACCTGGCCTTGTTTCGGAGTCAATTGCGAATGCCAGAAGCTCAAGTCGAGAGCCTGCATTGAGGGACCACAAAAAAAGATGCCGCTCACCAACACTGCCAGTTATGCAAAGGACTCTGCTCTCGGCACCTGACTTTTCCCTGTACGCCCTTGGGCCGTGCGCCCAGCAGTGTCACAAAGAAGCGCTCGCTTTCCACGCTGAGCTCCGCAGACTGGACACGGTCGCCCAGGAGGTCCTCTCGGGGAAGCCTGCCGACTGCTCTCTTGAAAAGTCTCCAAGCACGGATTCTGCTTTCGGCCGGCCTGCGCAGTGTGCAGATGCACCTGCCCACGGCTGACCGAAGTCGCGGGTCAAGGTGCACCTCAAAGCCACAAACACCCCAAGGCGAGCTTCGGCGAGCGGAGAATAGGTGCCTTCGCCAGCAAATCCTCCAGTCCGGTTCGCCAGCGGCAGGCGCATTGGAGTGCCCGCCTTCTCCGTCCCGGGATGGCACGACAGTGCAAGAGGGCACGGCCGCAGGGCTGAAGATTGCTGAAAGCTAATTCCCGACAAGGGCACCAATCCAATGGATCTGGGAGAAATGCGAACAGGGTATTGCGACAATCCACAAACCTGAGTGCGAGACGCGCGTGCTGAACACCCACGCTCGGAATTGAAAAATCAAGCCAATCCAAGACAAGTTGCAGAAACGATGCCGCAGGCTCTGGCCAACATACGGTCATCGCTGAGTAGAATCATGAATGTCAGTAAAATCACGGACGAAGCCGCTTGCGGCTTTGCTTGGACATGCTTGGCACTCCGGTTTCTGAATTGCGCACATCATTCGGTGAGGTGTTGTGTACTTAGGAGCTATCGAAGCAGAATGCATCGTGGCTGCCGGCCAGCACATGCACTGACTTTGTTTGAATCACACAGCTTGTTTTTCAAGACTCGAAGTTACAGTGCCTCTTTAGGCAGACGCAGTTGTCGAAAATCATAGTCCTCAGTAGCAAAAAATCTCTGCCTCCAAAGTGGCGTCACTCAAGGCTGCAAGAGGCTATGAGGTCGGAGCCGGTAGGGCAAAGAACTCCATCATAGGCCTGCGCATGCACGCACGTGCCGCACCAGCCACACCAGTCTCGTTCCTCACTATGACGGACCTCCACAGCAAGTCGACATTGGCCAGCAAGTCGTCGTTGTGACCTCGCAACAGCTCAGAGTCTCTTGCGGCTAAGGTCGCTGTGCGAACAATGAGTTTCACACCCATTCCTGGAGGGCTAACGAAGCGCTTCGTTTCGCCTTAATTGCACAGGCTTCAAACTCGCACTGCGATGCCCTTGCGATCTGAATTACTGCCAACACCCCTGACCTGGGTCGAATGCTGGGACAAAGCTCCAAAAGCTGCCTGCCTTAGCGACTCGGGCCGCGAGTTTTGCAAATTGCGTTCGTTCACCGGACGCCTCTTTGACAGCTGTGAGTCAACGCAGATTGTCAAGAACCAGCGATCAGCATTAAGCGACTCTCACTACGCCATGGAAAAGCTCCGCTTTGGGGTGATCGTTCAATCGTTCAGTTCTTGGTATGCGCTAGCAAGCTGCAAAAATCCAACTTCTCCATGCCTTGAGAACAGTCCACGAGCATGTCCCGGTCACCGTGGATGACGAGAACTGGAACCTGCGCAAGACGGTTTACATCATGCATCGTTCTCCGTCAGGGGTGGTTGGACGAGCAAGTGCCACACTACGTGATCCTTGGACAAGACATTGTGTCTTCGCATCGCGGTCTTCCGTTTCTTCTGCTGGCTCCTGCGGTCCTTCGGGCCCTTCCAGTTCAGAACTGGCTGATGGGGTCGCCTTGCCAAACAATTTGTCGTGCCATTCCTCACTCTCCCAAACAGATCTCAGGCATTCGGAAATTCTCATGAGAACCTACAGACTGTGGCGGGCATATGGTGTAACATGCATATCATACCTATGTTCAACCTGTACTTAACATCCTATCTGCACAGCAAAGAAAAAATGGTCACCACGTATGAACCACGGATCCTCTGGCTCGTCGGACATGCAGAACCTGGCGAAAGGAAACATTGCGTTTTGCAGTGGCCGCATTGCAAAATGTCGCAGGAATTCTCGCTGCGCCTGTCGTAGGCCCAGACGATTCGGTCGCGATCCGCGGGAAACTCGGGTATAGAGGCCGAATCATTTCTGGAAATTGCTCGCAAAGCGAGAGCTGGTACAGTTATGCCTTTGCCGAGGCTCCAGAGGCGTGCAGCGAAGCAATCGCCAAAGAAAGAGGATAAGGCCCTTCAGCGCGCCGTACCTCTTCACGACCTCGATGCCATACCTGCTAGAAAGAAGCGAGGGCGAAATGCGCCACAGAACGGGACTGCAATGCAAACGGAGCCTGGAGCAGCTTGGAACATAGCGACAGTTTGGTGGAAGCGATGGTGAGATGTACTGCCGGTAGAAGCGCAGAATGCCCAGAAGCAGCTCGGCGGCACAAGACTCGACCGGATTTTCGCTTTCCGGGAGAGAGGGCTCTGCCGCAGGGACGGGCTTTGCTTGATCGTCGTTTTGACGACTGGCACAGCGGCTTGTGCAGCGTCGGCCAACCGCTGCGGCTAGAACGCAGACTCCGAAAGAAGGTCGTTGCGGTGATCTTGCCTGGAGCAGCTTTGGAAGACAAGAATTCAGCATCGGGCTTCTATGTAACAGTATTCGGGCAGCCACACATGTATTCGTGTATTAGAACGGATTGACTTCGACACTGCGTTTGCTGCAAGTGCTCTGGCGGAGCTTCCACTACGAACCGTTGTGTAGCATGAGATGCTGGCAGGCGAATTCACACTGAGGCCTCTGATCGGAGTATGGAACAATCGACTGAGACATCTGCTCACTTCCTTCAGAGATCGGCATGATGCTGCATATCCAGTGCATCCAGTGCAAAATGACCGTGGAGCCGAATGTGAGAACCCAGCTCTGCAAGACTCAGGGAACCAAGCGGGCTCAGAGTCATACAGAACACATAAGTGCACCTACCTTCTGATTCGTGAACCAAATTGGGCATCTATGGCCTCATACGGGATAGTCAGTTGATCGCAGGAAGATAGGTCCAGTTGAAGTGGTGCTGTCGGATCCGAACCCCTCCAATCACCACAGATTTCTTACCGTTCCAAAGGGGTGCTGCGGCTTTTGTCGGATTCACGCCTGAACATGCGGACTCCGACCTTTCTGCTGGCGGAATGGCCGCTCCGGCACAGCACGGTCGGACAAGTGGAGAGACGTTGCGAGTGGACAGGGCATTCTTTGATGCCAGTCGCACAAGTAGAGCAAATGTTCCAGATGTTCTTTGAATGAGGCTACATGGTGCTTCCCCGTCCTTCCTAAGCTGGCAACTCAATACAACACACCAAGAGCCTGCCATGTCCCGTGCCGTGGCCCTACTAAGCTTGTGAGATTCAAAGGCCCGATACAAGTCAAGTGGACTAAGCTGTAAGCCAAGATCGCGCATCGCTGGCAGAGCAGGCAGAGCAGGCAGAGGCAATGAGTGGCCGGGCGGCAGTCACCTTGACTGTCTTGATGACCTCGCTGTTGCAAAACATGTTCTGGACCAGGAGCTTCGAGGCTTCCTTCCCAAGGAACCTTCCAACGTCCACTCGAAGATGCGCTACATCCGAGGCGTTTAAACCCTTTCAGCAACAGTGAGAGATCTGCATCTGGTGTGGCGATGCCTTGACATGATGCAAACATGAGATTGCATGGGACTCTCGATGATGAAGACATCGATTCTAGAAACGCGTGGTTTGCCACAAGCAGGCGCTACATGCATGGCATGACATGCGTGATTGAAACGTGCTTGAAGGGCATGCAGCTTGCTAGCCAGGTTACTCAAGACTTCTCTTCTGCAACGGTGGCCTGAAATCACCCTGCCAAGCGGCTGCCCAACAGCATCTTGGAGGCTGAGGAAGGGTGCAATTAGAACGAGGCCACAAGCTGCAGACGTCGCAGCCTCAAGCGTAAAGCATGTCGTTCAAGAACAGACACACAGATACCAACCACACTGAAACAACTGTGGAGATCAACTTAGCTGCCGAGAATGCACGGCGAAGTTACCTAGTGGTACATACTGGTTTGGTGAAGCAAGCTCGATGCTATGCTGATCATGGGCCCGACTGAGATGCGAGCCACTTGCAGTGCAACAGCAGCACCCAGACTGCGGCCAAGTATGATGATGTCTGACGAAGGTATGCGAAGAACCTAGCAGGCATGGGCGGCATGGGACAACTGCAGCGGCTGTCGACGTGGCCTTGTTCACGAAGTTCAGGCAGATCTGGGACGCCTGACGGAAGCTGTCCTGTGCAAAGGATAGCAGATCGTGAAACTGCCGGGCTACGAGACATGCAGTCGCATGAAGCTGAATTGCACATCTCCTCCGACGGCTTGCCAGGACATATGCCATAGCCAGGATACTCCATGATCAGGACGTGTACCTGCACAAGGACGAGCTTCAGCGAGGGAATTTGCGAACATGCAAACAAGCCTCAAGGAGATGCCGCAAGCGGCATGCAAAGTTGTAGCACATTCCCAGGTCCTGGCAGCAACGTCAGCCAAAGAGCTTCGAAACACGGGTTGCTGCATATTCGACTGCACGAGAGCAACACAAACTCGCTGTCAAGACCTGGACTCGTTGCCGATTCTACTCATGCACCCGTCGTGGCAACACGAATGAGCTTGAGAACGTCCTCGCCGTTACTGTGGTGGAAAAAGACAAGGTATCGAGCACCGACACCTTACATGCAACGTACGGAAGATACTGTGCCGGCATGCCTGTCCGGCAAAATGGATCCAAACTCACCCAGCAACGAGCACCCAGCACTGCAGAAATAAAGCTGGAAGGCAGTCGCCAGTATCACCTGACAGCATTGTTTCATAAATTATGCCCCGAACTAGCACTGATGCAACCACGATGAGTTGAGACGCACTCTAGCTGAGCCCTGGACGGACATTGTAGTCCAAAGATGCTGGTATCCAAAGCAGCTCGCCAGGAAAACTGCATCGCCCAAGCAGCATGTAATACGAATCATAAGACCACGACTGCGAGTACACAAACGAAAAACTAACTTTGATCAGTCTTGGTGCCTCCCGGCAGTGTACGACCTCAGTGTGACCGCACAACATGTCTGAGATCAGAAATAACTTCGCAAACCCACGTTTGCAGCTGCCGAACCCTGAATTGCTGTCCAAGCTGCGGAGAAGGTGCAGGAAAAAAAAGCTGTGAGACAAAGGATCGTATCATCTGGCGTCCATGTTGCAAACTGCACTTTGAACATGATTGAACTATGGTGCTGTAAACTTCGCGGCCCTTCGCATTATGCATGACGAAGACATGGTCTCTTTCAATGAATGTTGAAAGTATCCTCTGCTCGAGTACACAAACAATCTTTGCTGCGGAAGTCAGCGGCAACTCTGTCTGCCTGTCAGCCCTGCTGCACTGCAAATCGAAAACGGCTCTCAAACATTTACAGCAAGAAGTCTGTCGAACAATGCAGAAACATTCGGGTGCAAATTCATCTCGAAGCGCCGACGTTGGATATTGGTGCACTGATGCATTCGTCGATGTCGATGTCCCGGGCCCGGTTGCGACCATTTAGACACAAGACTTACATTGCTTACATTTTCTTCCCTTGTGCATATGTTTCTTACGTAACATAAATCGAAAGCTGCGTCACGCCTGTCCTGGAATG